CCCTCCAAGTTGAAGAAATTATTTCTTAAGAACCCAATACAAAACTTTAAGTTTAATATTCTATTATAATATAGCTCATTAACAGTTGGATAAACTGTGGGTTCAATTACATACCCAGAAACATAAAGTCATTTATGAGAAGTATGATTTGGACTATTTGCTATCATCCTCAACACTTACTTCCAAGATTAGAAATGAACTCTATTGTACATAACTGTATATTTTTAGTTATATCCTGCTTAAAGTCAGTGGTCCTTTAACAGATGTGTTAAAAAAACGGTTGTATTATCAAAATTTAGGAGGGAATTGCTCTCCTCTGTTCTGTTTAATGGTTTGTATATGGAAAATGTATTTCAAGTAACTTTTTTCTTTCAACAAAGCTTAACACAGGCAAGACATTTACCAAAGTGAGTCACCAATGGTTAACTCCAAGTGTCACAAACACAGGGTACTGCTAGTTGGTCATCTATCTCTGAAAGATCTGAACAATTAATGCGAAAAGGAGAAAGAAATTTAGAAGTTAAATAAAAAAGACCTACATTTATCCATAAATGGGAAAGAAATATGATTTATTCCCCTTTGAGTAAATTATAAAATTGATGTTGATGGCTTTCTTAAACAGAAGAGTCAAATCTATCAATACAATTTTATATTACAAGGGCCAAAATAGCTGTTGGTTTTCCTAACAAGGAATATGTGATAGTCAATAAAGAAAGAACGGAATTAGGTTGAAATAGAGATTATTTTCCCAAGTCTGGAGATGACTCAACATATGGCTTTGGGTGTCTACATAATGATAACATTCCAAGAAAACACATTTTCTAAGTAGTGCCAAAGTGAAATATTAAATTAGCTTAATTATCTTCATATCTTTATAAAATAAGGGCCAGAATGTTCTTCAAAATAACTTTTTAGGGCCGGCCCCGTGGCTTAGCGGTTAAGTGCGTGCGCTCCAATGCTGGCGGCCTGGGTTCGGATCCCGGCCGTGCTGAGGCCGCGTCCCACATACAGCAACTAGAAGGATGTGCAACTATGACATACAACTATGTACTGGGGCTTTGCGGGGGGGAAAATAAATAAATAAATAAAATTTAAAAAAACAAAAGAAAACAAAATAACTTTTTAAACGTGGAAGTGAACAAGCAAAGAGAAGTTAGGCAATTTGCTTAAAGCTTCAACAGGAGACATGGGATGAGCCAGTGTTTGAATCAGATCCTTCAGGGTGCCCAACATTCTTCTTACTTGCCAAAGAGGAGGGCATCTGGGAGTCTTGTACAGCTTCAACAAAAAGATATAAAATGACTAATGATGCTGCTCATTAGGCGGAAAGACTGGCACAGATGCTAGCAACAATCTTCCTCAAGCAAAAAGAGGGAAAGACAAGGGTTTAAGGATGTTAGAATTGCCAGTGGAAGTTAGTGGGGAAATTAAAGAGAAAACGCATACCCCATGCATCTCCTAAAGGTTTACCTTTGGCTCTTTTATTTATTTATTTTTTATTTATTTTATTTTTTCCCCCCAAAGCCCCAGTGGATAGTTGTGTGTCGTAGCTGTACATCCTTCTAGTTGCTGTATGTGGGACTCGGCCTCAGGATGAACGGAGAAGTGGTGCCTCGATGCGCACCCGGGATCCGAACCCGGGCCACCAGCATCGCAGCGCGCGCACTTAACCACCAAGCCACAGGGCCGGCCCTACCTTTGGCTCTTTTAGATCACCAGCATAACATTCATTACAGAAGACCCACGGTACGTGAAGATTTGCAGCTCTGTTAATCTGAAGCAACCTCCAAGGTCCACAACAAAGTGATTTGTTATTTTGCTGAGGCAGGAGTTAGCATCCCACGGCTGAAGTCTGGGAGCAAGTCATTTAACCAATGAGTGAACCTAGCCAACCACTGAGCACCTTGTTATTCTTATTTAATTTTTAGAATAATCCTGTGTGGTGTCTCTGTCCCTATTTAATAGATGTGAGAACGAAATTATATTCTATGGTGGCAACAATGATGATGTTAGGATGTATTCTGTAAAGAATGACAAGAGTCTACTATATTATACATTTCTAGCATAATAAAATACTACTCAGGAGTCAAAATTTAAGAAACTTCCTCCCTCTAGTGAATACATCCTGCATTCACATGTGATCACGCTGTCCTTTGATAGACTATCTCCCTAGCTGAAGTGATGTTATTCTTAAAAAGAGATAAAGGTATACACAAATAAAAATTTTCATCATTAGGCAGAAAGTGAGCATTTTCTCAAGTGGCTTAGATTATTGCAGGCACTGCTGCATGTATTATTAACTCTTCTCAATTTCTTGTGAGTGATATACACCATTACAGTTCCTTTACCCAGAGCAGAATAACACAGACAGTTTCGTCTAATGGAAGGCATGAAGGATTGGGAAAGAGGTCGCTCAACTTCTCTATGCTTCAGTCTTCTCACTAACCAGATATTCTAGTAAATAAGTGGTACAAAGCAACTTGTCAGAGTTTCTGTGTGGTCCAAACAGCATATCTAAAAGCTCAAACTTTAAATAAATGTAAAGCATTGTAAATTTAATCGAAGAAAACATGTATCAAGTACTTCTTGTAAGTAATAAACCACAGCTTTAACGGCTGTTCAAAAGATGCATTAGGGAGCAATTGAAAATAAAGGGAATTGACTAGGTAGAGAGTTTGCGGGGGCACAGGGAAAGGAGCAGCTTGATATCAAAGTCTGGAAAAGACAATCAGATTTTGAAAGATGGACAAGCCAACCTTAGAAGAATCCTTTGTTTAACCTGCCACTCCCCTAGGAGCAGCAACCATATCTTCTGACTTGCTTCTTCTCAAATTACATGTATTACTTAGAAGAAATAAAAAAGCTGGGGAAATTGCAATTACCTAATTGAGAGATATAAAAAGTACCTCTCCACTTTGAAGAGTTACAAACACTTAGAAACATGGTGATAGGACACAGAGATGCCACAGGCCTGGGAAATGACAATGCTTTCTATAACCTAGTCATGCTCAGCTCTCTTTTTCACTTTATATATTTAAAGTTAAGGCAATTTTTTGGTCTTCTATTTAGTATGTCCTTTTCCCTGGTAATGCAATTTCAGTATACTACTCTCTCCTTAAGTCACTTCACCTTAGTAAAACAGAAAAATTAGGATGAGCATTCAGAAGACTATCCTCAAATCATATGATCGTGTTTTCCCATTACAGCTATGTGCTCTCAGGAGTGACCTCCCTGATCTATACCCCTTCATTCAGCAAAGTATTTGAGCCCCTACTTTGTGCCAGGAACCGTCCTGGCACCGGGGTAACCATATAAACAGGACCCACATGATCCCCGTGGATCAAGAGGGAGACAGACAACAGACAGATAAAAGAATACAAAAATTACAAACTGGGATCAATGCTGTAAACAGTACTCTAACAGAGAAAAGCTGGGGGTTACAAAACTACTTTAAATAGGGTGGTCAGGGAAGGCCACTCTAGGGAGATTTAGGCTGAGACTTGAGAGAAGAGGAGCCAGTTACATCCACATGCTGTGTGTGTCTGTGTGTAAGTAAGTAAGGGGGGGGCGGGGAGAGTAAGAAGAGCATTCCAGAAATAGAGATCAGAAAGTGCACCCTGGAATGCAAAAGTGCAGGCAGAAGGGATGGCACAGCGGTCCCTGTAGCCAGAGCCTACGGAGCAAGTGACATGAGACTCAACATGGGTAAGGACCACATCCTACAAGCAGCGCCTTGTAGGCCATGGCAAGGAGTCTGGATTTTATCTACATGCAAAGAGAAGCCATAAGATGACTTTAAACAGGTGAGTTACACGATCCGTTTTTCTTGGTAAAAGATCGCGCTGGTAAAATGAGACGTGTGAAAAACGGTTGTAAGCGCAGTAGAACCATAAGTCAGACGTAATAATTATTCACTTCTCCGGGTCTCAGCTTTTCCATCTATAACGCAAGCGGTCTGAGCTAGTAGCCATTTCCTTCCCGCTGCGATGCGCCTAGGCAGTGCGTCCCGACCGCGGCCGTGGCAGAGGGACCACGGCATTCCCCTCATCCCTGCCCACGCCCAGCACGAAACCGGCAGGCCGAAACTGTCGGTCAGCGCAGTGAATCAATGAATGGCCTGTCCGGGCCGCGAAAAGGCGCTCCGGGCGCCGGACCAGGCCCCGGGCCGGGAGAGAAGGCGATACGCGGCGCCAGAGGCCGCGAGCGCCGGCCGGTGAGGAACGTGGGGGCCGGGTCCCACGTAGCCCAGCGCGGCGACGAGGGGCCGGGGCCTCGCGGGAGGAGGGCAGGAGGAGCCCGACTCCGAGCCCGACGCAGGGAGCGAGGAGAGAAGGCCGGAAAGCAGGGCCGAGGAGGGGTTCTGGGCCCAGGCCGGGCGGCCCGGCCACTCACCGCAGCCGTCGCCAGGCTGTGCATGTTGGGAGCGGCCGCCGCTCTCCTCCCGCTGCCGGACGCGCCCGACCCGCGTCCCCGCTTCAGCGCCTCTGCCGCCAAAGACGATGAGCCGCCGCAGCCGCCATCCGCCTCCGGCTCGCTCCACCCCCTTCGCAGCCCTCTGACCTTTCACCCTTGACCCCGCCCACACAACCTCTTCCCGCCTCCTAGCTCTCGGCTGAGTTAATAGTCCCAGAGTGTGTCCTTTGCCCCTTAAGATTCAGGACCGGAAGGACGTCCGCCACCCACTAGTCCTCGCATGCCCCGGCTTCGAGCTGGTATCCCAAGAGAGGGACGTGAACTCTGACCCTCCTCCGGAGGCCAGTGAAGGGCGGGAAAAGCCAGACAGTCCCGGGAGGGCAAGTAGTGCGCATGCCCGATTGGGCTGAGCATGAGGGAAACGGTGGGAGGCCCCAAGTCCGCGAAGTGGAAAGTGCGCATGCGTACTACATCAGGGCAGGGGCGGGGCTGCCTCGGCGAGACTACGCTAGGTGCTGGGGCGGGGCGAGGGCGTGGGAGGGGCGGAGTTTGCAGGCTTGCGCGCACGCGCCCCGTGTGGTCGCGTCGAGTGTGCGTGCGTGCGTGCGTGCGTGTTTGCGTGTGGTCACAGTTCCCGCCATCAGCCGCTCTCCCTGACTGGGAGGGAGCGAGCGGCCCCACTCCTTGGTGCCCGGTGTCCATTCCTTCGTTACCCCGGGCTCCTCCCCCTCCGCGCGGACTCCGTGCTTCCGGCGGGCCTGTCCGGGGCTCCGGACTCGCAGGCACAGGTAAGGCGGGCCCGGCGAGCTTCTCAACTGAGCCGTTTTCCCCAAGACCCCCCCCCCCCGCCCCGTGCGGTCCGCCCACTCGGCGTTCACTCCTCCAGAGTTCGCCCGGTGCCGCTCAGCCCGCCCCCAGCCCCTCGACGCTCCCCTGGCCTCACAGGTACTCCGCTTGGGTCTTCCCCCGGGATTTCTCTCTCCTTGGACCTGGTCTCTGCTGTCCCTCGCTCCCTCCGCAAACCGAACCCGGCCCCTGCTCGCGGGGGGCTGTCGTCGTCCGCCGCTCGCCCCTTAGCGAGGCCTGCTGTGTCTTCAGGTGACTTCCGTTGCCGCACGTCCATCAGACCTTGGACGTGATACTCTTTCACTCTCTTGACCGTTCTTTCCCTTCTTTCCTCACCTAACCATCTCTCGCTAAAAGGCACGAAGGGTGTTTTTTGTCCTGCCTTTGGTTGCTCCCCATCTCTAGCCATCAGGTTGTCAGGTTTACCTATTTTAGGTCACGGTCCACGAAAGGAAACGATAACTGATGACAAAATCCTGTTCTGGAGAGTTGGCCTGTAGTGGTTTTGTGGTCATCCTTTCAAAATTTGGGCTTTGTGTAAACGCCTTTTTTGGGGTGGCAGTATCTGACAGGTCTCTAACTGGAAGAGATATCTAAGACGATGTCAAGTAGGCGGTTGGATGTACTGGGTCTGAGCTCAGCAGAGTTCTGGGTTGGATAGATAGATAAATGTATACATCTTATCGCTGTGTTGATAGTAGTTGAAGCTGTGGATGTGGATGAAATTGCCTAAAAAGAGTATAGTTCTAAAAAAGAAGGGGACCTAGGATGGATGGAGCACTGAGGGATTCTTGGCAGTTAATAACTGGGTAGAGGGGTAAAAGAGACAAAAGAAGTCATCAATAGTGTTGAATTCTGCTGAAAGGTAAAGTTGAAGGGGACTGAAAAGCCCGGTGACATCCAAGTAACCGATGACCATAGCAAGAGACGTTTGATGGGGAAAAAAGGACTATCTAGCTTCTGTCCGAGGCCCTGTTCTCCTTTTACTCTTCCCTTCCACCCTAAGCTTTAAATTCCATCTGTATATTGATGACTTAAGAATTTTTATTTCCAGCTTGTTCCTTTTGTTTTCAGCTCAAGATCAAAATACCCACCTGTCTGCTTGACATCTCAACTTGATTTTTTCTTAGGAATTTCAAATATAACAAGTCTAAAACCAAAGTCTTAATCTTTCCGTACCCAAATTCTTTCTCCTCCAGTATCCCAGTTTGTCTAGTGGATATCCATTTATCCACTTACATAGGCTAGAAACTTGGAAACCATTCGTGACTTCTCCCTCATCCCATGTATCCATACCTTCTTCAAGTTCTGTTTATTCTATTTCCGATATATGTCTTGGATCTATTTCTGTGCATCTTCAGTGTTACCTTTCTAGTTCAAGCCACAATCCTGTTTTACCTGGACTTGATGTCACTGGTTCCCTGTATTCTCATCTGTAAAATGGGAATAATAATCACCTTATTGGATTGTTATGAGGATTAAATGAGATAGCCATGGTAAGCACATGGCACACAGTAAATAGCCAGTAATTGTAATTGTAATTGTAATTGTAATTGTTGTTATAGGCTGAGTCAGGTCAATACTCTCCTCTCTGGTTGCCCTGTTTTCTTCCATTCTTACTCTTTTCACTCTCTTCCCCAAACCCAAACAAACCACATCACTTCTCCATTCAGCAGTAACATGTCATTTCTCTGCTTAAAACCTTTCATTGGATTTCCCATCACTAGGTATTTATTACATCTAGGGTAAAATTCAGAATCCTTACTATGGTCTAGAAGATTCTGTGTAACTTGATTCTTTCCTGCTTCACTAGCTTCATCTTGCACCATCCTCCTCTTCCTTACTAAACTCCAGCCTCACTGCTTTTTGTTTCCTTTGTCACACCAAGTTATTTTCCATCACAGGGCCTTTGCACATGCTGTTCTGTTTGCCTAGATTGTTCCAGCACAGCCATCCCCCAATTAACTCATTCTTTAATTTTCAGCTTAAGTGATACTTCCTCAGAGAAGCCTTCTCTTGATGCTCTCTAACCTCTACCCCCTCTACCCTGTTATAATCTTTCATCATGCCCTGAACTTTATGTCATTTTTCAGAACTTGTAATTATATATTTACTTGTGTGATTATTTAAAGTCTTTCTCCAATATAGAATATGTAACTATTTCATTTCTATTTCTCAAGAATTTGTCAAATGAATAAGTAAACTGGCACTTGCTGTGAGAACCATCATGTCTTTTGGAAGCACCAGCTTACTGATAATCTTGTCATCCCATGACACACACCTTTTCACCCTGCAGACAAATTCAAGGATGCAAAAGAAAAAAAACAGTTTTCCAGCCCTGGATGATTTTACCCATTCTTATATCATAAAATCATTCATATTTTAGACTCTTTGAATTGGAGATAAACTTTATCTAGGTCAACTTCTTCTTTACTCTCAGCCACAACACTAATTTAATCTCTTTGCGCACTTGTTTTATGGATCTTGTTAGGAAAGAAAGCCCTTAGGAATCAAAACAGTGGTTTATATATTTTAACAACAGGTTAAACTGTGAGACCAGTCAGGATAAGATTTCCAAAAATAAAGAAAAATTCCATATTTAAGTAAGTTGTTGGTGGTGGATGTGGAAGAAAATGTTAAAATTTAATAATTTGTGTGTAGAACAGGATTTGTGTTGAGAAATAGAAAATAAAAAATAGGTGTATGAATGCCAAACATAGTTGTTTGGATTTATTTTATAGGTAGCAATGAGCTGTTAAAAATGTTTGGGAGAAAGTTTCTGTTAAGCAAGATGAATAAGTTCTAGAGATAAGCTGTGTAACATTGTACCTATAGTTAACAGTACTGTATTGTACACTTAAAAGTTTGTTAAGAGAGTGGATCTCATGTTAAGTATTCTTACCACAATAAATTAAAAATCTTAAAAACGTTTGGGAGAGAGTTAGCATCATTGGCAAATATTTAGCACTTACTAAGTGCCTGTTATTTTGTTGGAGTACAAAAGAAGATAAGACAGCCCCCCCACCCTTCCACTCTAGGGAGAAAGCTAAGGAGACAAGTAGTGCATACTTTAGTTAGTAAGAGATAAAGTTCTTTAGAAAGGATATTGTAGGGCAAAGGATTCATTGGATGGAAAAATCCTGAGAGAATGGAGACTGGAAAGTGATTACTGCAAATCATTGATGAGGATGCAATATGGTAGTGTTTAAAAACATGGGCTCTAGTGTTAGACTTAATTTTGTCTCTTACTGACTCTGTAACCATGGGTAAATTACTTAATCTCTATAAGCCTCAGTTTCCTCGTCTGTAAAATGGATTATCCTATTATCCTGTCCTTTAGGATTATTTTGAAAATTAAATGAGATAATGCATGTATGGCCCTTAGTACTGTGCTTAGTAAATGTTGTGTAATAAATATTAGATGGGAGTGATGACAAAGTGAAGAGTTTCTGAATTAGGGTAGTAGCCATGAAAAGATTGGGTTTTAGATAAATGAGAATGAAATTAAAGCTGATGCTAAGATTTTTGCCTGAATGACTGTGGAACGACAAATCCAAGGAAGTCTGGGGAGTCTCTTAATGAGGGCATGGACTGTATCATCTTTGCGTTTGTCCCTATCACAGTGCCATCAAATTGGAGTAGCTCAGTAAATGATTTTTTACTGAGTGAACAAATAAATGTAAAGTTGATGTTATAGCATTGAAGAAGGCAGTGAGAGATGTTTGGGTCAAACTTCAGGGAAAGTTGAGGCTTAGAGAGGCCTAAATTTGAGAAACAAACCCATAAAATTAGTTTTAAAAGAAAAGTAAAAATGAAGTTTACCCACCTTTTGAAATTTGTACCAGCACATCATAGTAGTAGTATTTTAAGATTTGAGACATCATTATATAACAATGTTTATAAAGTCAACCAAGGATATACTCTTTTTCACTGCCTTCTTAGTTTCAAAATGTAGCAGGGATAAATAAACCAAGACACAAATTGATCAAGGTGCAGGCTCCTCCTGGAGTCCCTCATTTTGCACAGCAGATATATCCTTAAGGTTCTGTTGATCTTGTGTGTGTGTGTGTATCTTGAGCATTATTTTTTAAATGTTTTCAGTAAGGTAGTTTGTGGTTTTTAAATAATCAAAGGGTTAATCTTGGTTGTATAAATGATCACTTTCTTTTTTTTTAATTTCAATTTTGTAAATTGGATTCTTTTAAAAAGGCACACTTATATTTTCTTTAGCTGAGTTGATGGCTTCCGGAGAACTGGCATAGCTGCAGAATATGAGTAGTTCCCCAAGAAGAGTGCATTGCCTTTGGCACAAGGATCAGAATAAAGGTGAATTGTTATTACATAGGGTTTTTCAGTAAAAGTCACTGAAAAGTAAGTAATGTTTTTATTGTGGGTTATGTGTCCAAGACTATGCAAATTGGCAAGAATTGACAGTTTTCTTTCTCTTATTTTGTAGTAACAGTTTTATGCTTTAGCATGCTTGCTTTACCACAGAATGCCCTCTGGATAAGGATGTTTTCAAAGCAGTACCTAAAATATGAGCATTTAAGTAACTGTAGAGGGTATAGAAACATTTTTTGCCACTGTTAATGATGGAACTTTCATAGAATGCTCAAAGTTGAACAGTAATTTTAATAATTGTGAAGAGATTTAGGGAAAGGGGAATCTCTTTGGAGGTATTTAAGGAATAAGTCGTTTTTATTATACTTTTTTTTCTAATGTTGCTTTGATAGCAAATTAGCATTACGCAGTTCAAAGAAACCTCAGCATCATCCTAGATTTATAGAAAGTTTAACTGTTAGTGGATCATGCTACATACTGAAAAAGAAACTTGGAATTTTTTTTCTCTTAACCAAGTAGAGCAAACTCTGATAATATGAATGTACAAAAGTAGAGATAGTTAATTCATGTAGTGCAAGAGTGGGTAATGGACTAAATTGAGGCTTTAAGACAATTTTTATTTTATTGCTTCTGCCAACTTTATGTCTTGTACCTTTTAGGTTTTTCTTTTTAGAAGAAAGAGAGGTTGCTAGTAGAAATGGTTAAGAAAATGTTTAATATCTAAAGTAAAGTTTTATACATTTCACCAAAACCGTGCATCAAAATGTTTGAGAATTATATAGAGAGAAGTTATGTATTATATAGAGAGAGAATTATATAGAGAGAAACAGAAGTAACCAATAAAATTTTTTCTCATATACTTTAGTGAACTTTGAAATAGTCACTTCCAAATTTTGTTAAATAATCTGATTTTAAAAAGTATGTTTTTATTGGAGGAATTCAAGGTTAATGACCTTTACTTACTTTTGGTCTGTAAGGGAAGCACTTAGATAATGCGGTTTTGTATCATTCCCTTTTAATTTGGCACACTGACCCATAATGACATATAAGGAAAGATGAGGTCATTTGGCAAAACTCATTTAAAATGGACTTGCTTCTTTGAGCAGCGAATAGTATGAATCCCATTTTAGGCAAGTTTACTAATGTTTTTGTTTTCATAATACATTCTATAACTGCATATTCTTGTTCTTCATAAATGATTTTTCTCTCATTGAATGTTAAGATATGAGGACAGCTTTGCATTTAGTGGAGAAGTTCAGATGCACATAGAAGAAGCTTAGATGTAGTGTTCAAAGATGAGTTATTTGTAATACATTGCATTGTGATACTCTTGTAAAGAGCTTAGTAAATATAACCCTATATTGACCATATAAAAGGGATTTATGGTTCCAGTATCTGCTGTTGTATATTTTAACAGTAAATTGAATAAAATTGATAGTGCTGATTTGTTCATTACTTTTGAATAAAGAGTTGGTTTCTTGTGTGTCAGACACTGTGCTAGTGGGGATGCGAAGATTAAAGAACATATTCCCTGTCTTCAAATAGCAAAGTCTAGATAGAGAGAGACAAAGAGGTAAACAGACAGTTTATAATACATTGTGATAAATGCCCTACTAGAAATAAGCACAGGGTACAACAGGAGAATGGAGAAGCATTAAACAGTTTCAGTGTGGATATGGGGTGAGAGAAAAAGGGAAAGGTAGCTAGGAAAGGCTTCTTAAAGAAGATAACATCTAAGTTAAGCATTGATTTTATAGCTAGGAGAAGAGATTAAGGGGGGTTCTGGGGGCTGGAGAGAGTACGTAAAACTCCTCCAGACATAAAGCGCAGTGTGTGCAAAGGTATAGTGGCGTGAGAACATACGGCTTTTTTAGGGAAATTATAAGTAGTTCAAATGGCTGGGTTTGGTGGGCTTGGGGGATAGAGAGGCGAGCAGTACCTGGATCATGAAGGGCATTTATGTCTTGTAAATTAGTCTAGATTTTATTGTGAGGGCAGTGGGGAGCTGAGAAATGATATTAAGGAGGAGAATGATGTGATTTGATCTGCAATTCATTGTAAAGATGTCTGGAAGGTGTATAGAGGTAGAATTGACAGGAATCTACTCTGACCTTCCGTTTCCAATCCAGTACCAATAATCATCAAGAGAAAAATCAAAGATAACTCATGTTTCTGGCATGGACGATTGGAGTAGGACAGTGGCCATGTATTCTTGGCAGTGCTGAGAGACAGAGTGGAAAAAAATCTCGACATATCCAAACAATGAAGCACCAAATTATTAATTGCAAAAGAAGTATTACAAACACACATTGCTGGCCCAAAATTCTGTAGTTACTAGTTTGAGCAAAATGTCATGTTAACAGACAGATCTATAAACAGTGTGGACTCTATTACTTTGATAGAGTCATAAACCCAGCAAATTATACTGTCTAAATCTGGCCACATTAGGCACTCAAAAAATTTGATGAGATAAGTGAATAATAATAGAGGACTTACAATACATAACACCTTTTAACTATTCGAAGTGTTTTCACACTTCTTTTTAAATTTTATTCCCAGTTATTTGATGTACAGTACCTAGAATCCTTGAACTAGGGTTCCCGAGGTTGTATCCAACTACAGGTGGGTTTTGTTTGGTTTGTAGCTTTGAAAAATAACTTTGAATTCATTGCCCACAGTTGAAAATGGGCAGTTTTACGTAAAAATTTGGATGTCATTTTCTTGGAAAGTAAGATGATCTGGCAGTGCTGGGTTCACTATCTCTACATGGTAAAATTGGCTAGATTTGAGTAGCAGTTTTCATATTTTACCTGCCTAAGTCATTTGTGTCATGTACCTGGCCTCTACAGGCAATTGAGTTGGTGACCCCTGTTAACAACGTGTTTATCTGGGGTTTTTGGAGAACGAGGTGTTGCGGACAAGTAATAAATTCAGAAAGTGGACACTAATTCCGTTCATATTAAAGCTGCTGTCTGTTGAGGGCCTAAAGTATGTTGTTTTCATTTAATTCTGCAACACTGTCGCATTTGCTATTCATATTTTACAGTTGAGAAAACTAACAGTTAGAAAAGGTAAGTTACAAATTAGTAAGTGACAGAGCTAACTCCTGATATCTAGACCTAGTGTGTTTTTCCTTTGTATACTACTTTTTTTAGCTTTTTTAGTTGAGCTGTTTAGGCAGAGGCAAAGTTTAATGATTTTTAATTTATTATAAGCAAGAATCTGTATTAGACGCAGTGTTTTTAGAGATTTGAAAAGAGTATAAATAAAATTTGTTTTAACAATTCTAGATATTGCATATATATGTGTTTATGTATAACATACACACACTTTGATAACATTTTCTGCTATTATTCTAATTGTATTTACTTTCTGACATTGGATAAGGTAGTTTGAAGAGTCTCAAACATTCTATCGTTGCTGTAGGTCATGTTTAAGTATTAGAAGTTCATTTGGGAACTTTGTCAAAGATAAAATTGATAAAGATTCTTATAGAAATGGTAATATTAAACATAAATGGTAGGCAGTTCTTAGGACGAGATGGTTTTTTTGTTGTGTTTGTTTTCCCTAGGGAGTAAATTGTTTTCTCAAATAATATAATTCTGGAGTTTAAACTAATTTCATTATTCTTACGACTTTTTGTTCATTTAATGTCTTCTACACGTGTGGATATGCTTAGACTACCGACTGGTAGAAGGAATTGTTTGGTGATATGATTTGATATTTTGAGAGGAGCTCTATTCTAGGAAATGGAGTCAGCTAACAAAGTATTTTTTTACTTATATTTGAAATTCAAGACCCTTTAGCATTCATGAAGAAAGGTAAAAGTTGGGCCATCTCATTGAGAATGGAATCCTTAGTATTCCTGATTGGCATGCCTTTCAGGAAGCCAGTGGCAGCAATATGGTTGTTAATAGTGCAAAATGCAAAATTTAGGCACTAATAGACACAGATACTGGACAAATGGCAAAGAAAGGAACATGTACAGAAGAAATAAAAGGTGGTTAGATTCGGTCACTGAACATCAGTGACTGCTGTAGTTGTCTTTCTTACCTGTGCCATTCAGCTAATCAAGGCCTTTGAGGATGCTTAATAAAAGGTGGTTCACTGAAATGGAGAAAAGAACAGAAAAGAACATAAGATGGTTCATAAATGTTCTCTTTTAAACTCTTATTTTAATCACAAGTAAATTGTAACTTATTATTTTATTTTATTTTTCTTCCTTAGAATCTGTAAGGTGAAGGTGTATTTTTGCTTTTTAATTTGGCTAGAAGCAATTTATTTTTAAAGAAAGTATGTCTCCTCTGAAGATACATGGTCCTATCAGAATTCGAAGTATGCAGACTGGGATTACAAAATGGAAAGAAGGATCCTTTGAAATTGTGGAAAAAGAGAATAAAGTCAGCCTAGTAGTTCACTACAATACTGGAGGAATTCCAAGGATATTTCAGGTATTACCAAATTTTGATTTGGAATAGATCTTCAATCATATCCTTTAGTGAATAGCTGTTCTGTGCCATACTAAGTATCACAGTAGCCCTCCTGTTAGATTAATATTTCTTCCTTCTTATTTCCAGGACACTAATACTGTTATGTACATATTTTATAAAGTATTCAGCAGCAATGTTGGCGGTGTATAATAAAGTGCAGGAAGTAGTCACCGTTATTGAAAACTGGTGGGAGGAAGTTGAGAACAACTGAGTTTGGATACTAGCTATTTAATTATTTTAAAAACCACATTAGGATAACTTTATTCCTTTTTTTTCTTAACATATATGATAGTTTCATCAGTATTTAGTGTTAGCTTTGAACAGGACTTATTAGTATCTTCTTAATGTCTACTTCCTAAATAATCCTGCTAGAGGTGGTGGTATGGACCATTCAAGGATGATTACTCAAGGTCATCCTTAAAGCTGTTTTCTTCTAACTGTAAACTTTGGAATGATCTCGTTATTTTATCACTGCAAAAAATAGTTAATTTTGTTTTCACTTCTATACTGTTTATCTTGTGCAGCCAGGAACTAGTCATCTTGATATGAGTTGAATTTAAGAACATAATGTCTTACTTAACATTTTTCTGCACTTTAAAATTCTATGTTTGTGAATTAGATTATACAAAAGTATACAAAAGTACTAAACTGAAGTGCTCTATTGAAGAACAATTTATAAAACTTTATGCTTGAGAACCTGAGCTGAGGTAAAATTTCCATTTATCTTTGCTTTTGAACTATGAAAATAAGTTGCTTATGATTTTGTGTATCAAAGATACACAAATAGATTGGAGGTGGTAACATGGGTAGTGGAAACAATAGTAGTTTCTGCCGCGTACGTATATCTACTAATTCCCCATCTCAATGAGGGAAAGTTTTTTTTCAAATAGAGATTCAGTTTTTCAGTCCTAAGCCCAAATTAGCACTGAATAAATATTTAACCATTTAAGCAAACACATGTCTCTAGGAGCATGATGATTCTACCTACGATTCCAGCCTCATCTCATTTCTAGATCAGTTTGCATTCAGCATTCATCTGTTGACCACCTACAGATTACTAGGGTGGGTATTGTGCTAAGGGCTAAGAATGCAGAGCTGAATGAGACACCTTTCCTTTCAAACTTAAGGGTAACCAAATGCGTTCCGAGTTGTAGAAATATATCAGAGATACTGAGGTGACACAAAGAAGGGAGTGGTTTGTGCTCTGAGGAGTTAGAGGATAAATAGGAATTCGCCAAATGCAGTGGAGGTAAGGCAGAGGTGATTTCTATACATGGACAAACACGTGCAAGTGTGAATCAACACTCAGCAAAGCAGAAAATTATTTTATAGTGAATGGACAATAGGGAGTGAGTGGCAGAAGTAGAGGCTGAAGAGCTAGATAGGAACCAGATCTTGAAGTATCTTATTTGTCATACTAAGGGGAGCTTCGATTCTAAGGAACTAAGAATCTTAAGTTCAAATTCATTTGGGGACTAGGCAGATGACTTTATTTCAGGAGATAGTGGGAGAATAAGGACATGTAGGAGGTTATTGTGGGAGTTTAGACGAGGAATGAAAGTCCTGAACAAAGGAAGAGGCAGTGGGAGAAGCTAGAGGAAGAAAGGTTAGATTTGAAGAGATTTCAAGAAGACAACTCATTAGATTTGGGGGGTGAGAGGAAAGAGTCTGGGGAGAGTCCCAAGTTTCTGAGTGGATGGCAGTCCCTCTCATGTCCTTTGGGATAGGGAGCAGAGGGGAAGAATTGGAGTGAGGATTGGAGAGATGAGTTGTTTGAGGTGTCAGGTGTTGGTATCTAGTAGGCATTGGGTAGTCAGGACTGGAGCTCCAGCGGAGAGGTCTGGACTTAGAGGAAGAGTTGGGGGGCCGGCCCTGTGGCACAGCGGTTAAGTGCACGCGCTCTGCTTCGGTGGCTTGGGGTTCACAGGTTCGGATCCTGGGCATGCACCAACACATATCGCTTGTCAAGCCATGCTGTGGCGGCATCCCATATAAAGTAGAGGAAGATGGTCATGGATGTTAGCCCAGGGCCAGTCTTCCTCAGCAGAAAGAGGAGGACTGGCATCGGAGGTTAGCTCAGGGCTGATCTTCCTCACACACACAAAAAAAGTTGAGAGCCCTCGCCATATGGGTAGTTACTAAAATTGTGGGGCTAGATAGGATTTTCAGTTGTTGAAGTGATCAGGTTCAAGATTATTCTCATCTTGTTTGTTAATGAACAGACTTTTCAACTTTCATTTTTAAAAAGTGGTTTATTGACTGAAGTGATTTTATGTGATCTGTTTTCCTTTGGAATGCTAAAGTACTCATTTAAATTTTTGGAGTTCAAGCATCTGAAACTAGTTATTGTGTTTTGTGATAGAATTTCCACTTAAAGACATGAATTTAAGACCTACTTTGAAGCTAAAAAATATATACATCGTTTAAAATTTGAATATAAATTAAGTCTGATTGGTAAAATTGTTTTTTCATTCTTATCTAAAAATTGACAAAAGTCAATTCTCCCTAATTTAAAAAAAATTTTGAAATGCTATTACTTCTTTCTTTATGCTGTTCAGAGGGCAGAGAGTATGTCTTCAGCAGAAGGCAGCTTTATAAACCTTTATGTATGCCCGCTGAAGGAGAACATTAGAGAATAAGAATGCCTGCTTGGCAGGAATTATTTAGATAATAAAGAAACTGCAAGGGGCTGGCCCCGTGGCATAGCAGTTAAGTGCCCCCGCTCTGCTGCTGGCGGCCCGGGTTCGGAACCCCGGGTGCGCGCCGCTTGTCAGGCCATGCTGTGGCGGCGTCCCACATAAAGTAGAGGAAGATCGGCACGGGTGTTAGCTCAGGGCCAGTCTTCCTTAGGAAGAAGAGGAGGATTGGCATGGATGTTAGCTCAGGGCTGATCTTCCTCACAAAAAAAAAAAAAGAAACTGCGAGAAGAGACTAAGAAACTAACTTAGTCTTGGAAAAATTTCAGCCAAGAGAATATAAAAGCTGTCACTTCATAGCACATAATCAGAGTCTGGAAGAATATAAGACAAGTTATGGAACCAGTTCTGGGAAGTGGGAGAAGTAAGCTAAGATAGGTGCTCGTGATTTTTGTGATTGAATGAAAGTTAAATGAGCCTACTTAGTTAAAAAAGAGAAAAGATGTTCTTACATTGGTAAAGGTTTATGTTGATGTGTTTCTGAGAAGTGGAATTCTTTTGAGGATTATAGTTTGGATTAATATATCCTTATATATTGCAACTACTTAAACCATTTGCCAGATATCTTACAAGCTTTTGTTTAAAACAAAAAAAGAAAGAAAAAGAAATCCTCTATTCCAATATGGCTTTCTAAACTGGTGATGGTATAACCATCTAGGCTCTGAAAATTAACTCAATAGTTTTTATGACTTTATAACAGTACCTGAAAATATGCAATTCCCTACCATAAAATCAAGAGTACTAGGATTACTCTGTAAAATAAATTTTAATGGTATGTGTTTACCTCTCCTAAAAGTGAAACTTTTGATTTAAATGTATCAAGAAGTGGGAACTCTTTTTGGTTGGGGGAAAAAAAAAATTAATATGGGGAAGAGTAAGGATTGTAACTTAAAAAGTATAAAGTTTAGTATTCACTATACAACTTATTATACTCTGTTATCTTACGTTTTTAATGATAAGATAATTTTCCTTTTGTGTTGATCAGCTAAGTCATAACATTAAAAATGTGGTGCTTCGACCCAGTGGAGCAAAACAAAGCCGCCTAATGTTAACTCTACAAGATAACAGCTTCTTGTCTATTGACAAAGTACCAAGTAAGGATGCAGAGGAAATGAGATTGTTTTTAGATGCAGTCCATCAAAACAGACTTAATGCAGGTGAGCACTAATTGTCCCAGGGTCTGACATTAGCAGTTATAAAAGAATATTGCTAGACTATAGACCAGCATCTCTGGTGAATATTGATGCAGAAATCCTCAACAAAATACTAGCAGACCAAATTCAGCAGCACATTGAAAGGATTATACACCATGACCAAGTGGGATTTATTTCTGGAATGCAGGGATGATTCAAGATATGAAAAAATCAATCAGTGTAATACACCAAATTAGCTGAATAAAGAACAAAAGCAGGGCTGGCCCTGTGGCTTAGCAGTTAAGTGCACGCGCTCTGCTACTGGCAGCCCGGGTTCGGATCCCAGGCGCGCACCGACGCACCGCTTCTCAGGCCATGCTGAGGCCGCGTCCCACGTAAAGCAACTAGAAGGATGTGCAACTATGACGTACAACTATCTACTGGGGCTTTGGGGGAAAAAAAAGAAAAAGGAACAAAAGCCAGTGATCATCTTGATGTAGCAAAAGCATTTGATAAAATTTAGTAGACTTTCATGATAAAGACACTCAACAAACTAGGAATAGAAGGAAACTGCTTCAGTGTAATAAGGGCCATGTATGAAAAGCCCACAGCCGTAACATCATACTCAATGATGAAAAACAAAGATTTTCCTGTAAGGAACAAGGCAAGGATGCCCCCTGTCACTACTATTCAACGTAGTACTGAAAGTCCTAGCCAGAGCACTTAGGCAAGAAAAAGAAATAAAAGGCATCCAAATTGGAAAGGAAGAAGTGAAGTTATCTCTGTTCTCAGATGACATGATATCATATGTAGAAAACCCTAAAAATTCCACAAAAGAGTATAGCTAGAAAAGAAGGAGGATTTAAATTATAATTGGGAAAAGTTACCTTGTTACCTAAATCTTAGATACTTGCCTTTTTATGTGAAACTTATTCCGAGGTTTTATTCTTGCTGTGAAAACAGCAAGTACTAGAGAAAATCACACAGTATGATCAGATTCCCCTGCCCCCTCCAACCCCTTTCATTTAAAATGTTATGAGTTTTTTTTTTTAATGTGTTTACAGGCATGTTTTTAGGAATAATCTGTTGTTTAAAATGAGTTTTCCACTATTATTGTTAGTCTCCAGCTCTGTCATCATCAATACTTTGTTATTACTAATATTTTATAGTTGACAAACTTTTTGAGTTTTTTTAACTTAAATATAACACATTAAAAGCATTAGAAAATGAAGACGTAGCAGTGCTACCTTGCTTGTATTTAACTGATATCTCTATTTGACACACTATATTCCTTATAAAAAAAAAAAGTTTATGGTTTTCCATTATGTGTTCATGTTACCAAGTCTGAGCTATGTCAGTTTACTAAATAACTATTGAATTTTAAATTGAGGAATTGAATACTGTTTAAAATTTTTAGAATATGTCAGAGACTATGTCTGTGTTTCTGTTTTTGTTTTCTTCCATCATACCCATCATATTAATTGAACCATTATTTTAAGAATAATAATATAAGAAAATGATATAAGAAAAGCCTGTCTCTAAATGCATTGTAGTGGAAAGCACAGTAGACTAGGGACCCAAGTTTGAACCTGAACAACCTGGCATAATGGAAAAACATGAGCTGTGGACCTAGGTAGATTTGGGTTTGAATCCTAGCTCTGCTTGTTATTTCCTGTGTGGCTTTGGGCAAGTCATTTAATGAGTCTGAGTTTCAGTTTCCTCATCGCTAAAATGAAAGTTATATCACCTTGATTTCAGGGCTTATTAGAGAATTAGAGCTCATTAATGTAAAGCCTGACTTGCACGATAGGCACTCACTAAGTCATTGCTGTTATTAGAGTAGCTAGCTGTGGACTTACCTCGTTCTTTGTTCTGGGGCAGGTTATTTTAATCTTTTAGGTTTGGTTGCCTTAGCTGCCCAAAAGTGATCATATATACTTTGCAGAGACTAGGGTAAGATAATGAATATAAAAATGCTTTGAAAAGTATAAAGCATTTAATATATAAAGTGTGGCATTTCAAATCAGTGGAAAAAAAGACCAATATTTGATAAACAGTGTTATCTGTAAATAGGACAACTAGCTAACGGTTTAAGAAGACAGTAAAGCTGGATCCTTATCTCACTCCTTTCATCTGAATAGATTTTACATTGATCAAAGATTTGGATGTAAAAAAATAGAATGATAAAAGTATTATTAGAAGAGGAGAGTGGATTTCAACATAATATCTGGATGGAAAAGACCTTTCTGAGTATGACATAAAAACCAGAATCAATAAGAGATTGATAACTTGGACTGTGTAAAAAATTTAAATGATCTTTGTGGCAAGGAGAGAAAAAGAGACGAAGAAGATACTAGCCACAGTGACAGAGTTAATATTGCTAATATACTAAGACCTATTTTCCAAATCAGTAAGAAAAAGACAGCCTAATAGAGAAATGGATAAAAACTGCATATGGGAAATTCAGGAACAAAAACAGATGGCCCTTAAACACGAAAAAATTCTCAACTTCACCAGTGAAACAAATTCTTGCTATCATATTGGCAGTAGTGCGAGGGGAAGCAGGATACTCTCATATACTTGGTAGGAACTTAGAGATATTTTTTGGAGGAATAACTGGTAATACCAATTTAGTTTAAAATTATACATTCTTTACCCCAGCAATTCTTATTCTAAGAAGATTATCCTACAAAAATCATTCCATTAGTGTAAAAAGATATGTGAAAGGATGTTCAACGTTGTTTGCAGTTTTTAAAAATTAAAACATTCCAGGGGCTGGCCCAGTGGCATAGTGGTTAAGTTCACGCACTCCGTTTTGGCAGCCTCGGGTTCGTGGGTTCAGACGGATCCCAGGCGCAGACCTACGCACTGCTTATCAAGCCATGCTGTGGCAGGTGTCCCACCTATAAAGGAGAGGAAGATGGGCATGGATGTTAGCCCAGGGCCAATCTTCCTCAGCAAAAAGAGGAGGATTGGCAACAGATGTTAGCTCAGGGCTAATCTTCCTCGCCAAAAAAAAAAAAAATAATTAAACATTCCAAGTGATCATCAGTGGGAAATTGATTAAATTAAAGTATAAAATACTTTTTAAAATATATACAGATTCATGTTTATACACTACCTTACATGTTCTTTAAACCAGCATTGATTTCTTTGGAATAGAAGCCATTTATTCCACTTGCTGAACTTATAGAGAATGTTTTGGAGTATTCATTATTGGAAGTGTATCTCTCACTGGTTCTGACATGTTTCCTTGGCGTCCAGTGTCAGTGTTCGTGCCATAGATACGCAGTGACTAACTTTTCTGTATTGTTAATTACCAAATATTTATATAGGAGAATTTCTACCATTTTATTTTTGCATTTAAAATTTTATCTGTTACATGTTCCCGGATTTTTGCATGTTATTTGACTTTTTGCTTGAGACTCAAGCTCTAAATTTTAATTACTGTGTATATCAGATATACTTTCTATCAGAAAGAATTGGTTGATAAGCACTTTCATTTGTTTTATCTTGTTCCTGCTTCTCTTTCTTCAATATTATATAATAATAATAATGAAAAAATTTCTTTATTAAAGTAAGTGATTTGGGAATTTCTTTTTGGTCACCAGCCATGAAACCTTCTCAGGGGTCTGGTAGTTTTGGAGCTATTCTGGGCAGCAGGACCTCACAGAAGGAAACCAACAGGCAGCTTTCTTACTCAGACAATCAGGTATGTTTATTTGAATCTTTTTAGCTTTTTAAAAAAATGATAATTGTAGACATTGTATAAGGTAGTTGCAGGAAGTGGAAATTAGACTGTAATGCCTAATAATTCTGGCACTGTTACAAGGGTATTTTCCACATACCTGAAATTTACCATTTTAGCTATATCAATCTCTTCAACTATTTTTATGAAAATGTTTCTAAAATTTGTCACATTCTTCCCTTCTTACATATACTTTTACGGAACATAATTTAACCTTTACTCGATGCCTCATGGACATCATTATGAACCACAGTAGAGTGTAGTTTTTAAAAAGCGTAGCTTTGGAGTTAGATGTTGGTTTGAGATATGGTGCTGCCACTTAACTATCTCTGGGTCATTGGAGAATTTCTTTAAGTATCCTGAGCCTTAGTACCCATCTGTAAAATTGAGACAGCAATAACATTTTAAGGTTTACTGTGAGATAATGCATGTAAAAGTGCTTAGCCCGTGATACTATGTACTAACAACCCTATAAATGTTGGCTGCTATTATTTCTGTCATGCCCTTTGGGTCTGTTCCACATTATGAACTTTGCCCCCTATACTATATGATACTACAGTGTTTTCTTGAGGTCTTCTATTTGCTTTTTAAATAGTTCTTCTTTCATAAATATTATTCAGTCAGCCATGAGACTTGCTGTGCACTATTGCACCTTAGCAGTCATATGTCTCTTAATTTCTTTTACAAAGGGAAACCAGGCTTAAAGACAAACTTTGAAGTGTCCTGTAAGCAAGCTGATGAGTTCTGTTTAGCTGTTCAGTGAGGTGATTACTTAGGCTATTTACTGGACTAAGCAATGAATAAGGTTTCATTTTTGTTAGTTTCTTTTTATAGGTTGGATTTTTTTGCGTTTTAATTGAGGAATAATTGACATCCAGTAAATCGCATGTATTTCAAGTGTACAATTTGATGTGTTTTGACTTACGTACATCCTCATAAAATCATGATCATAATCAACCTAATGAACATAGCCATAACCCTTAAAAGTTTCCTCATCTTCCTTTGTAATCCTTCTGTCCCGCTCCCTCTCTGGCCCCTATCCCTAAGGGGTTTGCTTTCTGTCACTTTAGATTACTTTGCTTTTTCTAGAGTTTTATATAAATGGAATCAGTCTGTGATTTTTTTGGTCTGGCTTTTTCATTCAGCTTAATTACTTTGAGACTCATCCATTTATATGTAGAAATTTAAACTTTTGGAATATTTAACTGTGTAAGTGTTAACATGCATAGCAAAAGCAAATATTTATACTTTGGCAAATAATGATTCCCATTAGTGGAATTATAAAATCAATTTTGTGGATTGTGACTAGTATTAAAAAAGGAATAGAATAGAAAATAATAGAGAAGGTATTGTACATAGTAAGGATGAGTCTCGGTGTCTGAAACTTTTGTTTCACTTTTGTTTATATATATGTATAATAGGTTGTGATGTAAAATATTTCTTACTATGTGGTCATGGTCAAACAAGGTTGAAAAATATGCAACTAGTATACATATGGTATGCTACCATTTGTATAACAAAAAATGAAATATTGATTTGTATTGCATAAAGAAACAGTAGAAGGGTACTTACAAGGGGTAGGAGAACGGAAAGTGGAAGAACTGGGTGGGTGGCATTAGGGTGGTCATGACACTTCTCAGTATATGGCTTTTATAATAGTTGTTGATTTTTGAATATTGAGAATGTATCACCCATTTGAAAATAAATTTAACTTTTCAAACCATTCATCCAGATGACCTCAGATTTTTTTCTTTCCTATCCTAAGATTGTAATTCTGTAGAAAGAAAGTAGTTGGAAATATCTTCCATAGAGAAATCACATGTAGAGCTACTTAACGTAGAGTTATACAACTTATGTGGCAGAATGCTGGTAGAAAGCACTGTTTCCCAACTAATATGTTTAAATTGCTGTGTTCTCTCTGAATGTTCTTGCTGTGTGGTTAGGGTAGACTCTTTGATTCATCTTCTGCTGGTGGACTCTCTCTCACTCTTATTTTCCCCCTCATTGTGTATATTTGTTTCATTCCTTCAAACTAGGTACATGTGACTTGGCATTTAAGTTGTGACAACCAAATGTCATTGTTGTTCCTTTTTCTCACATCTGTCACTTTAATTTATCATAACCATAATTGGATTTTTCTTCCTCTAAAGATCTATTTTCATGCTAGTCACTAGAACCATGTCTTGTATATATATGAGTGGTGTTTTGTTTTGTTTTTTTTAATCAGTAATTCAAAGCAAATTCTCTTCTGCCTTCAGATATGCTGTGGAATTTTTAAGTTTACAAGAGTACTACAGGAAGAAAAGTATGAAGCTCAATTTCTGACACTGATGGTACATTAGACTCACCTAGGGTGCTTTAAAAAAAAATACTGATGAATGGGCTTCACCCCAGACCAGTTAGGCTAGACTCTCTGGAGACAGGTCTCCAGTTATGAGTAATTTTTAAAAGTTCTCCACATGAGAATCACTGGTCTAAAAGTATACTAATTAATTTGAAGATTTAGGTATATTAAACTTTATTCTTACAGGCCTCTTCAAAAAGAGGAAGTTTGGAAACTAAAGATGATATTCCATTTCGAAAAGTTCTTGGTAATCCAGGTAGAGGATCAATTAAGACTGCAGCAGGAGGTGGAGTAACTGTCACCCGGACGATTCCCTCTTTGACACCTACGTCAACACCTCTTAGATCAGGGTTATTAGAAAATAGGTATGACACACTTTTTTTCTTTCTTAGTCGTTAGCTGTGCCTGTTTATAAATGTCTTCTAAGCCTTTTAGAAAGATCATTAATTTGAGAGAAAGAAGGAGATTGTACAGTGAGCAAAGTGTTTTAGAAGAAGAAAGTATAGAGTACATTTTTGGTAGATAATGAGTGTTTGTCTTATGTGGTTTATGTCGGTGACACATATTGAACATGCAGGTGTACAGTATGTTAATTTAAATGTGGGGAGAATTAGGTAGCAGTAGTCACAGTTCCTGTCCTTGAGTATGTTGGTTTATACTTTTTAATGGTATGAGTTATGACTTTTTTAAATAATTTTTTTTCTCTATTCTCTGTAGGACTGAAAAGAGGAAAAGAATGCTATCATCTGGCTCGGAGTTGAATGAAGATTACCCTAAGGAAAATGATTCATCATCGTAAGTTACTTTAAGAACCTTTATGGCACCAGATCAGTGTTTCTTACGTTGGTAATTACAACCATGAAAGAAGATTGGGGGGATGATGTTCAATTTATGGGAGTTCCAAAGATAGAAGAGCAGAGTTTCAAGTAATTTGGTGACAGTAGATTGTAGGCTCAGTAGAGAGAGGATTTGGCCATTGATTTTGCTGTGGTCATTTCATTGCACTTCTCCCACACTCGCATTTTTTATCTGTAATACTTAGAGGAAGAATAGAGCTGAAGAACTCTAAACAGGTGTTTCTTACTAGTTGCTCTTTTATTGTGAACCCCTTCCTTCCCTCTTCCTTCTACCTGTACATTTTTTTTTTTTTTTTACCTTATTCATGTGAAAACTTAGCTTAGGGGTAGAAGGATGTGAATCCTACATAGATTCTAGACAAGGAGCATCAGTCTTTTAGGGCTATTTTCTGGGTTTAACAAAAGAGGATAGATTGCAACAAGACAATCACCAGCTTACAATCCTCTTCCTCATCATGAGAGAGGTTTTTGTTTGTCTTTTGGGGGAGAAAACTTATTACACAGTTATCAGTTAATACCTCAATTAGTATTCAAGGTCAAGGCGTCCCCAGAAAGGAGTTGGAAAAAGCTAAAGCAACTTCATATATTACTTGGGATCCTGGTTCTCTTGTTGTAACAGGTATAAAAAATCTAGGTAGGTGATAGGACTGGTGTGGTACCTGAAACCACAATTACCATGAACTCAGATTACTTCTGTCTTGTTGATCTGCCATCCTTAATAAGTAGCTTCCATTTTGTGACCCAAGATAGCTACTTCAGCCTCTGTTCTCATGTCTGCATTCCTGTTGGTGGGAAGGTAGGAAGGAGGAAAAGAGCAAAGGGAGGACATATGACTCTCCTTAGGCTGGAAATTGTACACACTACTTTTGTACATATCACGTTGACCAGAACTTAGTCATATGGTTATATCAAGTTATGAGAAAGTCTGGGAAATAAGCCTAGCCCAAATTCTACTGTTATGGCAGAAGGGTATAGTGGTTATTTGGGGACAACTAACAGTCTGCTATAGTTTACCCCTCTAGCCACAGAAATAGCCCTGTTCATCTTTCTCCTCACGCATAGAACACTCTTACCCTCATCCTAATGGAGACAACCTCCAAGTCTCATTTAGTCATTGTATCCAGCTCAGAGTCCAGGATCTCTGGGTGATGTGCAGTCCTCTCCATAAGGTCCAGGTATGCCTTAGACCATGCACCTCATGGTCTGGTACCTAAAAACTAAAAAGCAACCCACTCCCATCTCCATACACATGTCATTGGAGTTGGCACAAGATAACTGTGATAAAAATTTCATTTAGAAAAGACAAGAATAGGAAACTGGAGAAGTCACTGGTCTATACCAGCGATAAAATCTTGCTAGGCAGAAATTGTGAGGGCTGTGGAGTTAAGTTCTTGATTAGCCCATGTAGCAGTCTCTGTTTTATCCTCTGGGAGAAACCCTTGCTCATTGTATTCCGTGTGACTCCTGGCTTTGCCCTCTGGTAGGCTTCCTTTGTCTGTTATCTTTCAAGGGCATAGCTGAAGTGGGTTTTGAAGACTATGTTCTTCTTTGGTGCTACGCAGCTTTTGTAGCCTGCTTCATACTGGTGCGGTTCTGGAAATTTAGAAGTGTCTAGAAATCTAGAAGTTTCTTTAAAGGTTGAACAAGCAGACTTTTATAGGCTTGAGAAAGAATTGGAAGTCAATATTTTTGTTGTTTTGGTTTTTTTTTTTTTTCTTTTTTTGTGAGGAAGATCAGCCCTAAGCTAGCATCCATGCCAATCCTCCTCTTTTTGCTGAGGAAGACCGGCCCTGAGCTAACATCTATTGCCAATCCTCCTCCTTTTTTTTTTCTCTTTCCCCTTTTTCTCCCCAAAGCCCCAGGAGATAGCTGTATGTCATAGCTGCACATCCTTCTAGTTGCTGTATGTGGGACGTGGCCTCAGCATGGCCGGAGAAGTGGTGCGTCGGTGCGTGCCCGGGATCTGAACCCGGGCCGCCAGTAGCGGAGCGCGCGCACTTAACCGCTAAGCCACGGGGCCGGCCCCAGTTGTTTTGGTTTTTTGTTTTAATGAACCTTTTAATTTTGGAGTAATTTTAGATTTACAGAAAAATTGCGAAGATAATATAGAATGTTCCTGTATACCCCTTATGCAGTTTCCCCTAATACTAACATCAGAGTTTTTTCACAGAACTACTTCTCTAGTTACCTCTTACCATTACCTCATTTTGTGTATCAAAAACAATTGAATTTTTTTGGTCTCGTGTGGTCTCAAATTACTAGACAATTTCAATACTAGGCCATTGGCACAGAGATGTATTTCTTTTCCTCTTTGATTGCAAGCTGGCTAGTTCTTGTCCAAATTTATCTGTCTCGAGTAGGATCTTTCTGAAAGCATTAAGAAGCACTAACACAGACCAGTGTTGTTGTTGTTTTTTTTTTTTAAAGATTTTATATATTTATTTATTTTCTCCCCAAAGCCCCAGTAGATAGTTGTATGTCATAGCTGCACATCCTTCCAGTTGCTGCATGTGGAACACAGCCCCAGCATGGCCGGAGAAGCAGTGCGTCGGCGCGTGCCTGGGATCCGAACCCGGGCTGCCAGCAGCGGAGCGCGGGCACTTAACCGCTAAGCCACGGGGCCGGCCCCAGACCAGTGTTCTTAATTGTCTTGTTCTCTTCCTTTAGTGCTATAGGTTCAGTGAGTATGAGGTCTGCCTCCCAGACTTTAAAAGTTATGAGCCCTCAGATAGTGATGTGGCCAAGGCGCTGTGGGCAGGGAAGGCAAAAGCTAACCTAAAATATGTGCCAATCCGAGTCAGGATTAATTGCTACCCTTTGTAGGATAGAAGGAATCTGATGTAGTAACTTGTCACCAAATGACTGGTTGGTTTCCTTTAAGGGACAGTACTCGATCAGGGGCTGAGCATCAGTCTCTGCTGCTGACCAGTTGGACATTCAGCAGCAGCGATTGCTAAACCAGCCTTGGTGAAAGGGAGCCTCTAGTGTAGGCTGCATGCATGGCTTTTATCTCTGCCACCGTGGCTGCTATTCCTGGGCCCTGTGTGGAAGTATTGGGGTGGCTCAGTGTAGAGATTGACTGGCATCTGGACAAGTTATCCTGCCTGATTGTTCAGTGTCTCTTCAGTGGAGTTCTCTGGTGAGCACGAACATGCAAAACAGATCTTTACCCTTTTGGTAAATGGCTGTACGTATACCTCTTGCATAAATCATTTCTCCCTGGTCTTCCAGGCTTGCTCCTTCCAGGCCCCTAACCATCCATCCAGACGGTTTGCCACCATCCGGGAGTCCATTGATCCACTTTTTTCTTCACACAACGTGGATAGTGAGGTGTACCTCTCAAACTCTGCACAGTGGAGGATTTCCTGTCACCACTGTCTTTTCAGGGCAGTCCCTTAATGGAGCTATAATGCAGCAGCAGTTCATTTTCAGCTTGTACCAATGTACTGAGATGATCCATGCATGAATCGGGCCCAAGTTTTTTCCTCCTCTTTCGGCTGGTCATAGGGAATGCTCATAAGGTCTATTCTTTTATCTTTTCCAGCTTACTTGAAACTAATCCCAGATATACCACTTCCATTTTATGATGGATTACTCGTGTAAATTCCTGATCTTACGACTTCATGAGTATGATAGCACCCAGCTCATGCTGGCCAGCTCTGGTTGCATAGTCCCTTTAGGACCCGTAGTCAGATGCTCAGTCTCTTCCAGGGCCTAGTACTATGCCAGAAGTAGCGTGCTGTACTTTATAAATGATGTATAATTTTCTGCTGTAGACAGCATGGTGTTGCTCTTGAATCCTAAGGATCTGTGCTGCAACTCTCCTTGGGTGAGCGATTCATATGGTGTCTTTGTTCTTAAGTTGGTAATTGGCTCAACTGAGCCTGTCGTTTTCTCTCTCTCTTTTTTTTTAATTTTATTTATTCATTTTTTTTCCCCCAAAGCCCCAGTAGATAGTTGTATGTCACAGCTGCACATCCTTCTAGTTGCTGTATGTGGGACGCGGCCTCAGCGTGGCCGGACAAGCGGTGCGTCGGTGCTCGTCCGGGATCCGAACCCAGGCCGCCAGCAGCGGAGCGCATGCACTTAACCGCTAAGCCACGGGGCCGGCCCTCGTTTTCTCTCTTGAGTGGATCAGTACTCATAGCAACAACCAACGAATTATATAGACTTTATGATTATTATTTACCCCATATCACGTGTATCAGTTATCTATTGCTGTATAAGAAACCATTCTGAAACTTAGTGGCTTAAAATAGTAACTATTATTGCTTATGAGTCAATGGTCACTTGAGTGGTTCTCCTTATCTGAACCAGGCTTTGCCAGTTGTGGCTGGATCCTCTCATTTTCTCATGCATCTCTGGTCAATTGGTATGTTGGCTAGAGGTTGGCTGGTCCAGGATGGCCTTACTTGTATGGCTGGCCATTGGCTGGCTAGTGGTTAGGGTGATGAGAGTAATTGGCCATGTGTCTTTTGCCATCTAGCAGGTTAGCCAGGAATTATTCATATAGCAGTGACAGAGTTCCAAGAGAGTATGTAGAAATTTGCAACGTGTCTTTAGTCTTGGGATGTGGACTTACGCTATGTTATTTCTGTCATATTCTTTTGGGAAAAGGAAATCATAAGGCCATCCCCATTAAGGGATGGGGAAATAGACTGCGTTTCTTGCTGAGGGGCTTGGGTACAAGGAAGGGAATAATTTGGGATATTTTTAAAACAACTTTATTGAAGTACAGTTTATGTACCATAAAATTCACCTGTTCAAATGTCCAGTTCAATAATTTTTAGTAAATTTATCGAGTTGTACAACCATCACAATAATCCAGTTTAGAACATTTCTGTAACCCCAGCAAGATCCATCTTGCAATCTACCACATTTCTCAAATGCTAGAGATATTGCGTGAGCCATGTCCTCTTCTACTTTATCTCATCCCAATTCACTACAGATGAAAAATCTTAGTAATTATAACACTGTAGGAGGTATTATCACCAGGATTGGGATTTCTGTTGCCATTGCCAAAAAAGTGACCCACTTCCAGAATCCTATCCTTAGAGTGTGCTTCCTAGGCCCACTTCTAGTACCAACTATTGTAGATCAAGTTCCCCAGAAGCAGACGTTGAAATGGAGATTAGTGTGCAAGTGACTTTTAAGGAAGTACTTCCAGGAGATACCAGGAAGTGAGCAGGGAAAGCAAGACAATGAAGTACAGGAAATGAAGCTTGAGTATGATCTCAGATAAAAATCACACAGAGGTTAGGCTTCATCCTAATCCCAGAGAGATCATCTTTTTTTTGTGTGTGTGTGAGAAAGATCAGCGCTGAGCTAACATCCATGCCAATCCTCCTCTTTTTTTGCTGGAGAAGACTGGCCCTGAGCTAACATCCATGCCCATCTTCCTCCACTTTATGTGGGACGCCGCCACAGCATGGCCTAACAAGCTGTGCGTAGGTGCGCACCTGGGATCTGAACCCGGGCCGCCAGCAGTGGAGCACGCGCACTTAACCACTACGCCACAGGGCTGGCCCCTAGAGAGATCATCTTTTATGTAAATTTCACCTTAAAGTTGTTCTAATTCAAGGGGAAGGAGCTGGGCTTCTATACTCATGCTCTAGCACCTGACCTGGCTTGTGACTCTCTGAGAAGCAGGCAGAGTATTTCTAGTATCTTGAGGACAGTCCTGTGAAGAAGAACCCTGGGTACTGGTTATCGAAAACATGCTTAAATTGGTGTGGAAGAACGAACACAAAAATAGGGTCAGAGGGAATCTGGGTGGAGCATCTACATTGTCTGCTGAGGGCTTTATTCGTGATGGTTCTCCTAAAATTAGTGCTTTTAATCAAAGCATTAGCATTTATCTGAATGGACCCACTCTACTCATATAGGTTCAGCTATTTGGGAATAATAGAGGGAGAAAATGGGGCTTCAGAAATTTTGCCTCCACTTTGTGTTCATGAACTTAAAATAGTTTCATCACTATGAATTGAAATGATTTTGACATTCAGTACATCGTATTTCAAATCATATAGACTATAAAACATTTTGGTTTTTGGGTTTTGTTTTACTTTTTTAAAACCTATTCGGTATAAAGCTTGAATAGTTTACTTCTTAATTGATTCTTTTGGTTTTAGTAGCTGAATCATTTCATCTGATCTTGCTTTTGGCTAAGGAAATCTATATAATCTTGCTGTCTCTGATTTGACTTTTTTATAAAGAAATGCTCGTTCATTTTTGCTTAATTACCAGGGTTATGGATTGAATTGGCTTTTGATTTGGTAATTAAAGCTTATTTTCATGACTCTCATTTGCTTAAGTTGCTGACCCCTTAAGGATTTAACGCCTTGTAGCCTAACTTGAAGCAAATTTGTGAACTTGGCACTCAAAATGTAAATTTTTTTAATGACAGCTATTTAAAATTAAGAACTGTATCTTTATAAACCTCTATATATTGAATTAAATTATTAACTGTAGGAACAACAAGGCTATGACAGATCCGTCAAGAAAATATTTAACCAGCAGTAGAGAGAAGCAGCTGAGTTTGAAACAGTCAGAAGAAAATAGGACATCAGGTAAGTATTTGGTCTTTATATAAGATACTCATTTATTATATGATGTATTAGACTAGAAATAAAAACCTAAACTGGGATATACCTCTCTACATTATTCAGAAATACGACATAATTCAGTACTAGTTATTGGGTACCAATTTGTATCCAGTACTTGGCTAAAATATTGTTAAAGTATTAGAAATATAAGGGAACTTTTATTCTGTTTACAAAGAATCTAGACTTGACCTTCTTCCCTGTTTGACTGCCTATAATTAAGCTCTTTCATTGTCAAAGTACCTGGACCATAGAATAAATCCAAGGAGTTAAAGTGGTTGAAATTAAAGTTCATCAGTATTGCTACTTATTTGAAGTTCCAGAAGATCTTGAAATTATTGTGTAAAGTAGTTGTTTAAGCTCACTTTGCACCTTATTTTTACAAAAACTAAAAGTTATACCATCCATGAATTTTTGTCAGTGTTGCCTATACTTAACATATCTCTGTCATTCTGTGAACTCCTTAGAGACTCAGATATCTGGTATTGATTTGAATATTATGTCAACTTGAAATTAAATTGAAACAAGCTAAAATATAGTATGGTTTTGATAAATTGAGAGTTTAAGAGAATTCATTTGATCGGGACTATAGGAACAGTCTCCTTTTAATGGTTCAGTGGCCTAACATTTGACACCTACAGAAAGAAGTATTTCTAATATAATTCTTACCTCTGAAATAATAATACCTTATGTAACTCCACTTACTCGTTTTTAGCTTTTGTAATCAATCTATAGTTAGAAAACAGAATACTTAAAGATGTAATAGGCGTTAACAATGTTGAAGTTAAGGTACATCTTACAAAAGTTGATGTGGAAGAGGATGAGAGAGAAGGAAGTAAATGGTCAAGTGATAAGAGGTTCATGGAAGAAAATGTAGAAGTTTTAAGTGTGTTAAAGTTACAGAGTTAATCAGTAGAACTAAAGTAGCACAGCTAATTGGTTGGTTTGTTGTTGTTTTAGGACTTTTACCTTTGCAGTCATCATCCTTTTATGGCGGCAGAGCTGGATCTAAGGACTACTCTTCTGGCAGCACTAATCTAGACAGGTATGCGTTGGTTACGTGCCTTGTGAAGTACTTGAAGATCTCTCTTTTTTAGAATATTGAATGATAGAATAGGCTGTGCATTATGCTCCAAGGGAATAGCCTAATTTAAAATAACAAAATTGATGAGAATCATAGACTCATGACATGAGACTAGTTAGAAAGTACTCCAGAAATGTTTTAGTTCAAGCTGTTCTTTTTTATGTTTTTTGACAAATGAGTAAACTGAGGTCTAGGAGGATCTGTACTAAGGCCATAGGTTGTGACTGGCAATGTGATCAGGTAGCTTCTAGACCAGTGTATTTTCCACCATACGAAGTGATGAACATATTAAGATCTCTTCTCTGAGGCATGTTTAAATTGCCTTTGTTGCCTGTGTATTTGTTAAGCTACCTACCAAAAGTTAAGGCATTTTCTTTAAAAAACAGAAGTTTCACATTTGTAAATATCTTTTACTGGAAAAGGCTAGTCAGAAACTAACTGTTGATTCTATAGATAGATTAAATTATTTTTAGATTTATTGGATATAAATATATGACAACTACTAAGCACTTTTCAAGAAGGCATGATTACAAAATGCAGCACAGAGGGGCAATGGTAAATGTAAAAAGTGAGGGTAGTGGTGGTGTATAATAGATATGCTGTCTAATGACCAAGTCATATTTTGTTTTTACTAGAATTTAATTCAAAGTGGTAAAAACATCTTGATTATTTGTATAAAATGATTAAGGTGAAATAAAGAATTTGATTTGTGTATTTAGGTATATTCAGCCTTAGGTAGTATCTGTCTTAATGGCATTTTGGAAAGAAAGACCAAGGAGAATAAAGGCAAGGAATTTGTCAAAGAAATAATAGATGAAAATAGTGCAAGTCCACACATTGAAAAGCCTCAGCAAATGCCAAACAGCAAATATTAAAGAAAAATCCACATTGTAGAAGATGGTGGGTCGGGCCGGCCCTGTGGCTTGGTGGTTAAGTGCGCGCGCTGCGATGCTGGTGGCCCAGGTTCGGATCCCGGGTGCGCATCGAGGCACCACTTCTCCGTTCATCCTGAGGCCGAGTCCCACATACAGCAACTAGAAGGATGTGCAGCTACGACACACAACTATCCACTGGGGCTTTGGGGGGCAAAAATAAAAATAAACAAAATCTTAAAAAAAAAAAAGAAGATGGTGGGTAAAGAAATTTTAAAAGCTACCAGAAAGAAAATATATAATCTATCAAAGCAAAACAAACTGACATTAGTAACAACAGGAACAGACGACCCTGGAGTAGCGTCAAAGAATTCTATACTTAGGTAAATTATAATTCCAGAATGCAGTCAAATAAAGCTCTTTTTAGATATACAAAGACAGAATTTATTCAGCAAGAAGAAAACTGAGCAAAGGAAGGAGTAGAAGTAAGAAATATGAGTGAACAAAAAAATTTTTAAAGGGTATTTAAAATCTAAATACTTTTAAAGTTTATTCTTTTTTATAACTATTAAGTGGGTATGGTAGAAACTTCAAAAGTTAGAGGATGCATACAGTGAAAAGTAAATCTCCCTTTCTTTGCTAAGTCCTAGTAGTTCATTCCAGAGTAGTTCATCAGTACTGTTGCTGATATCCTTCCAGGGTTGTTTTGTGTGTCTAAATACATTTTGATAGTTTTTATAAAATGAGGATATGGTAGGATTAAAAGCAAAAAATTAATAAATATTAGACAACAGGAAGCAATATAGGAGTGGGGAAGAGTACAGGGAAATTAAAACATTTTAAGTTCCTTTTCTTGTTTGAGAGGAGGCCACAGTTAAGTTAGACAAAAACTTAAAGATGACTTCTACTTCTGGCCAAGATGGAGTGCCAGGGACCAGATTACCCTCCTTCATGAAACAGCTAAGAACCTGGACAAAATTTATGAAACAGTGGATGTTAAGACATTGGACATGAGGCAGTGAAGGACAGTGATCGCTGAGAGATGGGAAACAAATGAAATTAGCCTCATGACTGCCCCAGCTTGCTTCCTAGAGAAAGTTTCAGGCTCCCACACAAGGAGGGGAAACCTGGCAGAACCCTGTGCTCTTGCTGAGTTGAGAAAATGGAGCTTGGAGTCCAGGGAGGCCAAGGTGGCTAAAAATTCACAGAGCAGAGTACCAGAGGGGAAAGCTGCATAGAGAGAGAATTGCAGAGATCAGCAGAGGGTTCCCTTGAGTATTTGGTTGAGTGCTGATCAGCTTATACAGATGAGGAAACTAGCCAAGGCCAGGGAAAGAACCACCCAGAAGGATCTATTGGAATAATACCTGGAGTTAACATAAAGCCAAGCATAGTTTCTGTTCCTAATAGCAGCAGTTTGAATGCTAAGAAAGGTCTTGCCTCATTAGTGAGGAAAAACTATCCCTAGACTAATTGCTGCTCTGGTCCCACATAACAAACCTTAAAAGCAAGACCCAAAAAGATTAGACTTTCCAGGTAACCTAACCACATTCCAGAACAAAAATTCAAGAATGTTTATAGAAATCAAAAATATCCAGTACCCGACAAGATAAAATTCACATCTGGCATCCAAGAAAACATTACTAGGCATACAAACAAGCAGGAAAATAGAACTCATAAGGAGGAGAAAAATTTATAAATTTGTTAGTGCTGTCGATTCTGACTCCTGGCGACCCTGTGTACAGCAGATGGGAAGAAACCCTGCTGGGTCTCTTTGCACCATCTTGTCACCTTCCAGCGCTACAGCAGACAATGTTCCACTGCTATTCCTAGGGTTTTCATGGCCAGTTTTTCCTGAAGTGGGTGGCCAGGTCCTTGTTCCTAGTCTGTCTTAGTCTGGAAGCTCTACTGAAACCTGTCCACCGTGGGTAACCCTGCTGATATTTGGAATACCAGTCGCATAGCTCTCAGTATCACAGCAACATGCAGCTACCACAGTAAGACAACCGACAGGCAGGTGGTGTGGTTCCCTGACTGGGGAAACAAACCCAGGCCACCCTGGTGAGAGCACTGAATCTTAACCACTAGACCACCAGGGCTGGCTAATCAATAAATATTGATTCAGAAATGACACAGATGATAGAATTAGTAGACAAGGATATCAAGAGTTATGAACCCAGATCAGTGATGACATTAAATTTAAATATATACTAAGTGTTCCAGTTAAAGAGAAAGATAGACTGGATTTTAAAGGAAGAATAATAATCTACATCCTATTTAAAAGAGAAACAACTACAATATAAAGATGGCAGAAAGGTTGAGAGCAAGAGGATAGAAACAAATAAACCTTGCATTGTCCAAACTACAATATTTAGGAGTATATAGTAAGGGATAAAACTGATAGAAAGCTAATGATAACTTTTAGGGTAGAGGAACAGGGTTGTGATTGGGAAGGGGCACTTGGGGGTTTCTGACCTTAATAGTTGTTACCTAGGTGTTTTCCTTATAAAAATTTGTTAAGCTCCACACTTGATTTTGTTTTTTAATTAATAAACTGTTTTAGAGCAGTTTTAGGTTCACAGCAAAATTGAGCAGAAAGCTCCTATGTGGCCCCTGTCCCCCTGCACTGCCCCATGCACAACTTTCTTCACTATCAACATCACACACCACAGTGGTATACATTTGATTTTTATACACTTTTCTGTTTAAGTATTTATTTCACAATTCTTTTTTTGAGTAGAAAACTGAACAGTGGCTAACAGATGGCCTAGCCAGGCAGTAAGTCATTTGGGGATGATTGGTTTTTCCTTATAAAAAATTAAATCAGGGGCCGCCCTCATGGCCTAGTGGTTAAGTTCAGTGCACTCTGCTTTGGCGGCCCAGGTTTGGTTCCTGGGCATGGACCTACACAACTCATCAGTGGCCATGTTGTGATGGTGACCCACATACAAAATAGAGGAAGATTGGCACAGATGTTAGCTCAGGGCGAATCTTCCTCAGCAAAAAAAAAAAAAAGAAAGAAGAGAAAAAAAAATGTAAATCATATTCCTACTTCACAACATACAAAAAAAATAAGCATCCAATAGGAGGGAAAACAGATTCAAAACTTTTAAGAGAAAATATAGGAAAACATTTTTGTGACCTTACATTACAGAATGTTTCTTAAACAAGACACAAAAATTAAAATCATAAAAGATTGATAAATTTGACTATGTAAAAACTTAAAACTTAGAATACATATAATAGATAAAGGATTAGAATATAGACTATATAAAAAGGTACAAATCATTAAGAACTCACTATAAAACTAAAGGTACACAAAAGCAATTCAGAGAAGAGTAAACAGTTATAAAAATGTGTTCAACTTCGGTATTAATCAGGAAAATGCAAAATAAAATAACAATGAGATCATGTTTCAATCATTAGATTGATAATAATGTAATGGAGACCATGTGAAGAAATGGAAATTCATTATTGGTGGAAATATAAATTGGTGCAGTCTTTTTGGAAAACAATCACATTATCTAGGAAAATTAAAAATTAAAATTGAAAATATTTTCACTTCTAAGCATATAAACTAGAGGAAGTTCTCAAGATTGGGTAAGAATATTTGTTGTGTCATTTGTATGTATTTGTAATAGTGGAAATAGTTAACCGCCTAAATGTTTTCAAGACTAGGTAAACTAATGTATCATATCCATTAAATGGATAAAGGTGAATAAAAAAGTAAAACTACATTTATAGTTTTTCTCCAGCCATTAACTTGGATTACTTTGATTGTAGGTTAAGTAAGTACAGTATTATATGTCTTTTCAGCTCTCTATCAACAGACTTGCTAATTTACATTTGTGGAATTTTTTCCCAAGTGATCATCATTAGTGATATTTCCCCAAATTTAGGATTTTTTTTCCTAGATGTTGACGTCACTGAATCTACTAGGAGAAAATAGTAGTGTTCAAAGTTGTTTTGCTTCTTATCTGTTTTTTTTTTTTTTTACAGGACTAATGTTTCAAGTCAAACCCCCTCTGCCAAAAGAAGTTTAGGATTTCTTCCTCAACCAGCTCCTCTTTCTGTTAAAAAACTGAGGTATAACCAGGATTACACTGGCTGGAACAAACCAAGAGTACCCCTTTCCTCTCACCAACAGCAGCAACTGCAGGGGTAGGTAAATTCTTTTGTTTTGCTTTCTTTTTATAAAGTGGTTCAACTGAAGTATGTTTTGCTTGGTGTAAAAAAATGATGAAAGGAGTCATATTAATTATAGTTCTAAAATACTTGCTCACTTATTAAAGATTTATCACATCTATAAAAATGTTAAGTCCATTATCTGGTCTCCAGTTTTTGAACTTGAAAATATATCTGTATAAAAAATATTCATCATAAAGCAGAAAATGTGTATTCTTCAATCCCATATACTTCATCCTACTCCTGAGATACTTCACCATTAAGTTTTATTTATATCCTCCCCATCTCCTTCATGGTTATATTTTTGTTAAACACACAAAAATGAGATTATAGTGTAATAACTGTAGTAATAATAGTAGCAGTCTTACCTAAAGTGTTTATGTGCCAGACACTTTGTGCTCCGTGTTTAAATGGATTTTTTTCTTTAAATCCTCACAGCAGCTCTGTGAGCTAGATGTATTAAAAATCTGCTTTTGTGGATGAAGTAACTAAGGCTTAGAGAAGTTAATTGACTTGCTCAAGGTGACACAGTTAATAGTATAGAAGTAGTAAAATCTAGGCAGTTGGAGTCTATTTGCATTCTTTTTTTTTCCTCCAGTTTTACATTGGAGTTTTATTCAGTCCAGTGACATTGTTTGACATAAGTAGATACAACATAAAGGGAAAACATCCACCAAACATTTTGAAGCTTTCGCAAGTTCATTTTCTCCCTTTAAATATTGTGTTTGGCTTCCTTTAAACATCAAACACTTGAAACAATTGTTTAATATTAAGTAAATAACACTAGGATAGAAGCCTGATGCCTTCTAAAATAATGTCCATAAGAAAGTATATATGGATTTTTATTCCTTTCAGGCAAATTTCAAAAACTTTTCATTTTATGCTTTTTAAAAATCATTAGTTATCTTACAATCTACTTGCATTCATAACCACTGTGCTATATTCTCCGTTCCCTGATGTTTTACACTCTAGATTAATTGTGGGCATCCTCATATATTAACACATAACCTTCAACCATGTTAGTGTGCATTTAGATTTCCCTCTTTTCCAATTATAGTCCAGGCTAGAATGAACATTCCTATATGTTTTTAATATTTGTTGGAACTTTTCTGTAGGATAAATTCTTGGCAGTGAAATTGTTAAGACTAAGGAAGGCACTTTGAAATTTTGATTACTCTTGCCACATTGCTCTTTCAAAACCTACCAGCTTGTTTTTAATCTCACTCAAATTACTGCTTTTCTACTAGTTTTAAGATTATCTTTTTACTTGAATGAGTGGTGTCTGCCAATTTGATTTATCCAGAGGAGTTTATATACTTCATATCTTAGCAGAAAACAACATAAGATTTGCATTGAAAACATTTCACTTGCTTCTCTGCTTACCTGTTCTTTTCTCTGAGCCTCTTCTGTTCTGTCGTGTGAAATGTTTACCTTCCAGTTTAATTCTTAATTTCCTTTGTTCTTCATTCTGATTGGTCTGCCAAAATTATCATCTTGCTGTCCCCTTACTGGACAGCATTCTTATATTAGTCTTATCTATCCCATTTTGTGATCATTTTTCATCCAGATCTCATCTCTATCTGCCTTGACCTTATTTGTCTCATTTTCTTGTTGCCTTCTCTTGTGTATTTTATAGTCTACTTGTGCTCTCTGTCATCACCTCCTTCAGAGTCCTTTGACATCTTCGTAAGTTACTCACCCTTGGTGCTCCAGGCTCCCTGTCTACCTCCAGTGTTTCTTTAATTTCTGTATAGTACCTGTACCCATCTCTAGAAATAACAACTTTCCTTTTTTCAGACTTCTTCCAGGAATTAGAGTGTAGTATTTCAAGTAGGCTAAGTATTCAGGATTAAGGACTTGTTAAAACAAAACAAAACAAAAACTGTAGAAAACTGCCAGATGTAGAGGATAATGGAGCCTACCTAATTTCAGTATTCCTCAGAAATCCTCCAAAAATCATATAATGAATGAGGAGTACAAAGAAAAGCAAAGATAACCTTTAGCATTACTAGGAGACAATACCATCACCTTTAAACTAGCTTCTAAAAGGAGAAGCAAACCAAATTCCAGCAGTGTTCATGTTTCCCACCACTTTACGCCTGTGGGTGCTGCGTAAGAGAGTCCATGAAAAAGAATATATAGGAGTAGAAGACACTTAGATGAAACACAGAAAAAAAATCACTCTCAGACAGCGAAATTCAAATACTAAGTACCAAAATACTGAATATAGGTCTGGATCTTGGTAGTTTGCAGCATCGGTTACAGGGAAGGGGCTTGAAAGTAAGTGGTATCAGAAGTTAACAGTCTCAAAGAAGCATTACTTGTAGGGGAAGAGTCAGCCAAATCTGGAGACTTGGTTAGAAACAAAAGAAAAAAATGAGAGGACAGTTAAAGCTTGTGCTGAAATAAAAGGTAAACAAGACATGCCAATCTCTCCTTCTCTGCCACCACCACTACCACATCCCTTTAAAAAAACTGCACTTTAGTAAACTAACAGAAGAGGATGTGCTTAAATTAGGAACCCTATCCACAAAATGAATAGAAATCTAGAAAAGCAGGCTTCTATACAAAACTATAAGAAAAAAACAGAAAACATGAATCTAAATATTTAAGCTACTAAAAATTCTGCCATTGAAACCATGAACTGTAAGAAAACTGTTACATAGCACTGAATTCTGAATTAAATATTCTCAAACAAGCATTTGAAGATAGGAAAAAGGCACCATGAATCAGGAATTCAAACTAAGACTCAAAATGGACAAGCAGGGAGAAATGACAGTTACTTGAACTCAGAAAAGATAGAGAAGGAGAAAGATAACACCATGTCAAAAATTAAGTGTAAATTAAAGGTATCCAAGTAAATTCAAATGAAAATTTAATAAGGAGCTTTGAAGGACAACAGAAAACAGCCAAAGGGAGAAAAAAAGAGATAAAAATATAAATGGTCAAAGAGAATGTGATCGAACTGGAAAACAGGGAAGTAAGTTCTCATATTGCGTATAATTAGAGTCCCTGAAGAAAAAAATCAAAACAGTGTAACAGAAGTAGTATTTAAAACTGTAACCTAAGAAAACTTTTCAGAAATAAAATTATTGAATCTGTACATTGAAAGAGCTCTCCCAGGTACATGGAAAATTAAATAATCAAGGCATATCTTAGTACAACTATCAGACTTTAAAGATAAGGAAAAGTCTTCAGTGCCTTGAGTCAAAAAGATGAAATAATTTACAAGGGTAAGAGAAGTAGACTAACACCAGACATCTCAAAGTCACCACTCAAAGCAAGACAACAAAAGAACATTATATTCAAGAAACTCGATGAAGGAAAAGTGAACAAAGATTTTATGCCAATCCAAGCTGTCAAGTATGCAGAACTTCACAATAAGTTCTGAAGTGGAAGAACTCAGAATACTATACACATGTGCTCTTCCTGAGGACTCCAAGAGTATGAGCTTCATCCAACCAAGAGGTAAGGAGGGAGACATTGACAAAAGATAGAGGGTGAACATTTCATATATTCAGTCGTGGAGCTAAGACTAAAACAATGGAGGGAACACATATAGAAGGATGATATATAAACATTTTGTCTTGTGACAAAGGAGTATGATTGCAACTAAAAGAAAATGGAAAGAGGAAAGTAGAATAAGATAATTGTGTCATAAACGATAGGTGAGAGTCAAAGGATGCCATTTAAAATGGACAGCCTAGATAATAAAAAAAGCTTAGGAATCAAGGGTTAAGGGTACTGTAAAAAAGTTAAATACAGATATAACCACCAAAACAAAAATACAAGCCTTCTTAAAACCAAAAGAAATATTTCTAAAACACACAGATAGATAAGTAAAATTATAGTATAACATGACAGAGTTGGGTCCAAATATATCAGTCACACTAAGAAATGTGAATGGGCTAATACATTTAATAAAAGAATATTTTCAAATTGGCTCAAAAAGTGAAACCCAGCTCTGATACATACTAAAAATACACCTGGAACAGTGATTTAAGTTTTAAAATAAGGAAGGAAGAGAAGTTTAGCAGTCTAATGGAAACAATAAGAAAGCAGGGATTGCAGTCCTCACACCCAATAAAGTAGAATATGTAAGGACATAAAGATCTAAACAACATAATCAGGTAGATCTGCAGATATATATTAAATGCTATACTCTGATAATAGAGGATATGCCTACTTTTCAAGTACATATGGAATATTCACAAAAATTAATCATGTATTAGGGCACAAAGGAAAAATTAGTAGGCCCTATAAAGAACAAATAGTACAGTCAGCATCTTTTGATCACACTGAGATAAAACTAGAAATCAAACATAAAACTATCACAAAGGTACCTTCTAACTAGAAATTCTAAAAACCATATTAACGATCCCTTGAGTCAAACACAAATTACAGATGTTCTGAAGATGAATGATAATGAAAACACTGTATGTCAGTATGTATGGAATACATTTAAAGCAGTGATCAGAGGAAAATTCATAGTCCTGACCACCTAAATCAGTAGAAATGAAAATAAATGAATTCCAAACTAAAAACTAAAAAAAAAAACAAAAATAGAACAAAGTAAACCAAAAAAAAAGCAAAAGCAAGAAAATAATGATAAAAGTTAGAATTGCATGAAATAGAGAACTGAAAAACAGATCATATTAACAAATCAAAGTATGGATATTTGAAAAAGTTAAGATAGATAAATCACTACCCTTTTAATCAAGATAAAAAGGAAAAGGAACACAAATATACAGAATAAGATGACCAGGGAGAAATAATTATTAGTATAGAGGAAATTTCTGAAATCATTTGAGAATATTTTGTACTTCTCTAATCAAAAAGAATTAGAGAACTTAGATGAAATGGACATAATTATTTTGGAAAATGTACTTCACTGAAATTGATCCCAGTAGAGGTTTAAAAAAAAAAAGATTTAGACCAGTTTCTGTAGAAGAAAAAAGAAGTCTGTCAAGGAGCTCCCACACAAAAAATGCACTGGGCCCAAGTGATTTCACGGGAGAATTCTATTAAATCTTCAGAGATCAGAGAATCCCAATGCCATGCAAATTGTTTTAGAGCATAGAAAATGATGGAAAACTTCTAATACTTACTTTTTAATTAAAAAAAACCTTTTTTTAATGAGGTAGGATTGACACACAACAGTATATTAGTTTCAGGTATACAGCATAATGACTCAATATTTGTATATATTGCAAAATGATCACCACAATAAGTCTACTTAACATCTATCACCATACATAGGTACAAAGTTTTTTTTTTTTTTCTTATGATGTGAACTTTTAAGATTTACTCTCTTAACGACTTTCAAATATGCAGTGCAGTATTATTAACTATAGTCACCATGCTGTAAGTTACATCCCTGTGACTTATTTATCTTATAACTGGAAGTTTGTACCTTTTCACTGCCTTCACCCATTTTGCTCATCCCCAACACCCTGCCTCTGGCAATCACCAATTTGTTCTCTGTATCTATGAGTCTGTGGTTTTTTGTGGGTTGTTTTGCTTTGTTTTTTCTGGGTTCTTTTTTAGATTCTACATATAAATGAGATCAAATGGTATTTGTCTTTCTCTGTCTAACTTATTTCACTTAGCTTAATGCTCTTAAGGTCCATCCTTGTTGTCATAAATGGCAAGATTTCCTTGTTCTTTATGGCTGAATAATATTCCAGTGTGTGTGTGTGTATGTGTCTCTGTCTTTGTGTCTGTATACATATATCACATTTTCTTTATCCATTCATCCATTGATGGACGCTCAGGTTGTTTCCATATCTTGGCTGTTATAAACCATGCTACAGTGAACATGGGGGCATATATCTTTTCAAGTTTAGTGTTTTCATTTTCTTTAGCTAAATACTGAGAAGTGGAATTGCTGGATCATATGGTAGTTCTGTTTTTAATTTTTTGAGGAACCTAGTTTATTTTTGTTTTCCGTAGTGGCTGCACCAATTTGTAGTCTCACCAACAATGCACAAGGGTTCCCTTTTTTCCATATCCTTGCCAACACTTGTTATTTCTTGTCTTTTTGATAATAGCCATTCTAAGAGGTGTGAGGTGATACCTCATTGTGGTTTTGATTTGATTGATTTTTTCATGTACCTGTTGGCCATCTGTGTGTCTTTTTTGGGAAAATGTCTATTCAGATCCTCTGCCCATTTTTCAATCCAATTGTTTGGGTTTTTTTGCTATTGAATTGTATGAGTTATGTATTTTGAATATCAATCCTTTGTTAAATGTTTTATTGCAAATTTCTTTTCCCATTCAGTAGGTTGTCTTTTCATTTGGATGTTTCCCTTTGCTGTGCAGAGAGGCTCTTTGATTTGGTGTAGTCCCGCTTGTTTGTTTTTGCTTTCCAGTACTTAATTTTTTTTTTTTTTTTTTGTGAGAAAGATCAGCCCTGAGCTAACATCCATGCCAATCCTCCTCTTTTGGCTGAGGAGGACTGGCCCTGGGCTAACATCTGTGCCCATCTTCCTCCACTTTTTTATATGGGACGCTGCCACAGCATGGCCTGACAAGCAGTGCATCAGTGTGCGCCCGGGATCCAAACCCAGGCCGGCCCCTCCAATACTTAATTTTAATGAAATAAGTGTAAAACTGTTGAAGTAGCAAAAAAAAAAAGTTACAAACCAGTATCAGTTATGAACATTGATGCAAGAAATCCTAAGTCAAATATTAGTGAAAACACTTCAGTACCACATTAAGAAAATAATATACTATGACCAAATGGGTGTATACCAGGATTGCAAGGCTAGTTCAGTATTGGGAAATCTGTTAATACAATTCATTGTATTAATAGGTCTAAGGAGAAAATAAGATGATTTTCTTCATTGATAATGAAAAAAACCATTTGACAAAATTCAATGCCCATTTCTGAAAAAAATGCTTGAGAACATAGGAATCAGTGGATACTTCCTTAACTTGATTAACTATATACCTGAGTCCTAAAACCAGCATGTTACTTAAGGTCATGAAAAAGTCAAGGATGCCTGCTATCTTTACTTCTATTTAACCTTGTATTGGAGGTATTAATCAGTGCAGTTAGACAAGAGAAAGAAAGGAGAGGCATAAGAATTGGAAACAAAGGACGTGGAAACCCTAGTGAATCAATGATGAAACTAACTCAAACAATTAGAAGTATTTAGCCAGACAGCAGTATTGAAATTAACATATGAAACAACTTGTGTGTTAATACAAATAACCAGTTGGAAGATACAATGAAAAAAACCCTTTTACAGTAGCAACAAAAAAGATAAAACACATAGGAATAAACTTAAGAAGATTTATTTAAAACCAAATGAAGAAAACTCCTCCAGAAAGATACAAAGTAAACTTAACTACATGGAAAACATCCATTGTTCTTGGTTAAGACATCTTAGGATGGTCAAGAGATAGTTCTTCCTAAAATAATTTGTAAGTTCTTCCTAAAATAATTTGTAAGTTTAAGGTGATCCCAATAAAAATACCAATAAGCTTTTTTATGAAGGTAGTCTAATTGATATATTCCTGTGGAAAAATATACCTAGAAGAATAGCTGGAAAAATACTGGAAAGATAGCTAGGAGGAGGAGAGAATAGCTCTCTCAGTACTTAAAAATGTTATAAAGTCAGTGTAATTAAACTAACTTGTACTGATGCATGAAGAGACAGATCAGTGGAATAGAATAAAAGTCCAGATTACAGGGACAAAGAAGGATTTTTTTAATGAATAGAGTTGGGATAACTGTATAGCCATTTTGAAAAAGATATAATTAGATTCATCGCTCAACTATACACAAGAATAAATTCCAAATTAATCCATTAGAGTCTTAACTGTAAAAAATGAAACTCTTCGAATACCAGAAGAAATTGGGAGTGAATTTCTCTATAACCTTCATGTGGGGAAAGGCTCTATAACTATGACTCAAACTCAGAGTTCAATAAAAGTTTGGAATGATCAGTTTGCCTGCATGAAAATTAGATTTTTCATGGCCAGAAACATAAAGGTAAATTGGGAGCAAATATTTGCAATATATATCATAAATAAAGTGCTAATATCTCTAATATACAAAAAACTTTAAAAAGCGAAGGGGGAAGAAGACATGAGTAAATGGCGGAGCTCCAAGGGCCCATCCCTTCATAGAAATGTTGCCAAATCAAGCAAAACTATCAGAATCAACTTTGTCAGAAACTCTGGAAAACAAAGGTTTACAGCAATCAAGCAAACACTGAATCAAGAAAAAAACAATTTAAAAATGATAGGAAATTAGGACATTGAAAAACTCCTGTGTATACTAGGGAATTTTGAAAAACATGTGCATGCCCAGGGCTCATGCTCAGAAAAGACCTAAGACCTCCAGCTTTCACATCTGGCTGATCTGTAGGCTCAGTGCAAGCAGGAAGTGAAGGCTAAGGCAGAGTTATAAATGGCCCAGATAGGCACTCAAGCAGTATACCAGCACAAAGCCAATCTATAAAGACTGGGGGAAGTTTTTTTCTTGTTGTACTGCTACTGCTTTCCTCCTCTTTCTTCTTCCTCCTCTCCTTTCTCTCTCTCCTCCTGGTATTCTAGGAAATCTCTCAAAACATTAGCTAAACAAGAACAGAAAGAACAGAGACTTCAGAGACCACACATGATGAAGAATAAAGACTTGACAAAAAGAGTTTAGAAAACAGACTAAACAAACAGCTACAGCAAGCAACAAAAACAAATCCTGAGGAGGGAGAAGAGTCTGATTCCATAGTTACCATGTTATAATATTAAAACTGTCCAGCTTTCAACATGAAACTTAACATGCAAAGAAACAAGAAAGTATAGCCCATTGGTAGAAGAAATTAACAGAAACTGTTCCTGAGGAAACATAGACATTGGACTTCATAGACAAAATTTTTACATCAACTGGAGGGAGAAATACAGTTGTAAAATAATAGTTGGAGACATCAGTACTCCACTTTCAATAATGGATAGAATATATGGACAGAAAAATCAAAAAGGAAATACAGGACTTGACCAACACTAGAAACTACCTAGACCCATCAGACATATATAGAGCACTCCACCCAAAAAAAACAATACACATTCTTCTCAAATGCACATGAAACATTCTCCAGTAGAGACCATATGTTAAGCCACAAATAAATCTTGATAAATTTTAAGAGATTGGAATCATATAAAGTATCTTCTGCAGCCACAATAGACTGAAGCTAGAAATCAGTAACAGATGGAAAACTGGAAATATGTGGAAATTAAACAACCAATGAGTCAAAGAAGGAATCACAAGGGAAATTAAAAAATACTTAGAGACAAAGGAAGGCTCAAGCAGCACACCAAAACTAATAGGATGAAGCAAAAACAGTACTCAGAGGGAAATTTATAGCAGTAAAATGCCTACATGAAAAAAGAAACCTTGATGAGGATATGGAGAAATTAGAACCCTTGTACATTGCTGGTGGGGACGTAAAAAGCTGCTATGGAAAAGCAGTATGGCAGTTCCTCAAAGAATTAAGAGTAGAATTACCATATAATCCAGCAAGTCTGCTTCTGGGTATATATCCAAAAGAACTGAGGGCAGTGACTTGACCAGATATTTGTACACCCGTGTTTATAGGAGCATTATTCACAATAGTCAAAAGGTGGAAGCAGCCCAAGTGTCCATCAATGGATGAGTGGATAAACAAAATGTGTTATATATACGTACAATAGAATACTATTCAGCCTTAAATGGGAAGGAAATTTTGACTCATACTACAACATGGATGAATCTTGAAGACATTATGCTAAGTGAAATAAACCAGTCACCAAAGGACAAATACTGTATGATTCCACTTATATGAGTTACCTAGAGTAGTCAAAGTCAGAGTCAGAATGGTGGTTGCCAGGGAGAGAGGGATGGGGAAATACTGTTTAAGGGGTACAGAGTTTCTGTTTGGGCAGATGGAAGAATTCTGAAGATGGATAGTGGTGGTAGTCGCACAACAGTGTGAATGTACTTAATGCCTTTTAGCTGTACACTTAAAAAATGGTTATTTGGTAAATTTTGTGTTACGTGTATTTTACCGTGATTAAAAAAATGACCTCAAATTAATAACCTAACTTTACACCTTAAAGAACTAGAAAAGAAGAGCAAACTAAACCCAAAGTTAGGAGAGGAAGAAAATAATAAAAATGAGAGCAGAGTTAAAGAAAAAAAATAGAGAATAGAAAAATAATAGAGAAAATAAACAACACCAAAAGTTGATTCTTTGAAAAGATCAACAAAATTGACAAACCTTTAGCTAAACTGTTCAAAAAAAGACGACTCAAATAACTAAAATCAGAAACAAAAGTGAATACATTACTACCAACCTTACCAAAATAAAAAAGATTATAAGAGAATACTATGGTTAGTGGTACACCAACTAATTAGATGACTAGATGAAATGGAAAAATTCCTAGAAACAATGGACGATTGTGCAGCTGTGAAAAAGAAAATGTAAAAAAGTATAGAGAAGTTATATGAAATCAAAACCAAAGTGAGATGCCACTTTACACCCGCTAGTATAGCTATAATTTAAAACAAATCAAACCTGAAAATAACAAAGGATATGTTGGTAAGTGAAAAAACCAAATTGCTAAAGAGTATGTTTAGTATACTGCCTTTTGCGTAGGAAAGAGGAGAAATAAGAAAACATACATATATTTGCTTTTACGTATATATATAAAATATTTTAAGTATTATATAAAATATAACTTATATTTTATGAAGTATATAAATATATTTTATTTTAAATTATGTATATAATAAAATTTATATAAAATATATAGATACTTCATTTTTGATATTTTATGTTGCTGTGTCTTCGAGTTCACTGATATTTCTTCGGTGTTTAATCTGCTGTTAATCTCATTAAATAAAACTTTCAAATATTATGTTTTTCATATCTGGAAGTTTAATTTGAGACTTTTTAGTATCTTCCGTTTCTTTCTTCATCATATTTATGTTTTCCTTCACATCCATGATTACATGAAGGATATTTATAATAACTTTTTTTTTTAATTAATTAATTTATTTTTTCCCCCAAAGCCCCAGTAGATAGTTGTACATCATAGCTGCACATCCTTCTAGTTGCTGTACATGGGACGCGGCCTCAGCATGGCCGGAGAAGCGGTGCGCGCCCGGGATCCGAACCCGGGCCGCCAGCGGCAGAGCGCGCGCACTTAACCGCTAAGCCACCGGGCCGGCCCTATAATAACTTTTAATATCCTTGTCTGCAGTTGAGTTTGATTGTTTTGAGACTTGTGTTTAAGCTCTTTGGGGTCAAATTTAGAGTGGCTTTTATTTAGAATAAAAGGATTCTATTAGGATAAATTAGGATAATTTAGTTCCTTTCCTAAGACATGGCCCGTCTGGGGTCTCCACTAATGCCCCATGAATTCATCTAGGTTTCTGCACTCTGATTGGTGGGAACTCAAACAATTTTAGGTCCTCCATGAGCTCTGGGGATTGTTCGGCTAATGAAAGCTCCCCAGTGATCATTCTTTTCCTGAAGTTCTTCATGCCTGGAGTCAGGGGTTTCACCTTAAGCACGCGCAGGTTGGTATTCAGCCGAATACTCAAGCAGACTCCCGTGCAGCTTCTGGAGCCCTTCCTTTGCACCACTCCCTTCTTTTGGGTACTCTGTCCTAGAAATCTTAGCAACCTCAGCCTCTCAAACTCTAGTTTCTTTCAACTCAACGTAGCAAGATTTCTGGGCTCTGTTGGGGTACCGCTTCCTGGGCTGCAGTTCACAAATTGCCTCCAGGCTGAAACCTTGCACGATGGTGGTACTCACACTGTTTGTTTCCCTTAAGGATTGCAGTCCTGTGCTGCCTGTTGTCCAATCTTTTGTCCAGTTTTTTTCATTGTTTATGGCGGTAGGGTAATTCCAGACCCTGATACTTTATTATCGTCTGAAATGGAAGTTCTGAGGGGTGTTCAAAATTGACATCATCAGTGAGCAGCCCAGGATATCATGTGCCTCTGGATGGCCTTGAAAGGACACAGGATCACTATGTGCTCTTCCAGCCTGCGCTGAATCTCATCATGAGGAAATAGCAAACCCAATATGAGGAACTTTCCATTACAAACCAGGGATGGAGGGGACTGTATTCTTCACAAATGTCAGTGTCGAGAAAGAGAAAGCTGAGTAATTATTCCAGATTAAAGAAAACTAAAGAGACATGAAAACTAAATGGATTATGTATCCTGGACTGAATCTTGTGTTTAGGGAGAAAAAAATGCTATAAAGAACATTATTGGGTAAATTAACAAAATTGGATTAAAGAAAGTATATTAGATAATAGTATATTAGCATTAAATTTTATACTGCTAGTAACTGTACTCTGCTTATAAGAGAATGTTCTTCTTATGAAATACACCCTGAAGTATTTAGAGCTAAAGGGTTCTATGCAACTTACTCGCAGATGGTTCAGAAAAATATATGTATATGGAGAGAGAGGGGTATTAAATGATAAAGCACATAGTACAAAAGGTTAACAGTTGGTGAATCTGGGTAAAGAATATTATTATTGTGCAACTTTTCTGAAAGTTTGAGAATATTTTCAAATAAAAATTTTAAAAAAAATATGTGCTTTGGAAAAAATGTTTGACAGTACCCATTAAAGTTAAACATACATATATTCTATGACCCAGCGTTTCTACTTCTGGGCATATTCTTAAGAGAAATGAATAAGTTATAGCTCAATAAAAAAATTAAAATTATATAAGAACAAATAGCTCTTTGGATAAGTACCCAGTCCTTTTAAGCATTCATTTGAAATGTGTAACTTTCCTTGAGATGAAACTAAGTTGTTAGAATGTTGTAATGCGCTGGTTCTCAAAGTGTGGTCCCCAGTCCAGCAGCATCAGTGTCAACTGGGATCCTGTTAGAAATGCATGTAATTTTAGCTTCTCTGTCTGGACCACTGAATCAGAAACTCTGGAGTTGGGGCCCAGCAATATGTATTTTAACAAGCCCTCCAGGTGATTCTCATGCATGCAATAGTGGAGAACCCCTGTTCTAGTGAACGTACTGCAGGAACTACTGTTGTCTTCAAAAGTACTATTTCTTTCATTTACAGCTTCTCCAATTTGGGAAATACCTGCTATATGAATGCTATTTTACAGTCTCTATTTTCACTCCAGTCATTTGCAAATGACTTACTTAAGCAAGGTATCCCATGGAAGAAAATTCCACTCAATGCCCTTATCAGGTAATTGTTATGTACTTATTGAGTAAGTAACAATTTCACCTTATTGATTATAGAATAATGGACTTTTAGACACTTAAAATTTTGTGCCGCTGTTAACAGTCTTTAAAATATCATGCCATCCAAGTGTTTTCTAAAACGTGCTAAACTTGTCCCTTTTGTTTTACCAGACGCTTTGCACACTTGCTTGTTAAAAAAGATATCTGTAATTCAGAGACGAAAAAAGATTTACTCAAGAAGGTTAAAAATGCCATTTCAGCTACAGCAGAACGATTCTCTGGTTATATGCAGAATGTGAGTACTAATTGCTTTTAAACACTTTAGAGATAGGGGAAATTGAAATGATTTTGGCATGTTAAACTGATTTTTATTTTAAAATGAGATTTGTATATGTGTGTTCATCACAGGTTGAAAAACCTGAGCACTTCTGGTGAGGTTCAGTATGATGCTTCTGTGTATTTTATCATATTTTAATAATGCAGATGTGGTTTGCCAGTGTAGGAACTTGGACTAGTTTAGCTATAAAAGGTATTTTAGAAAAATTAACCTTTTTTAAAAACAAAGCAAGCAGTGATTCATTTATTTGTTTATGCTAATCCAACTAATAGTTAAGAATATAAAATCCATCACTTGTTTTTTAAGAATATAAAATCCATCACTTGTTTTTATTCACAAAGTATGTACCCCAAACTTGTTAGAGTAAATCTCATCCTTTTCACGTATGTTATTGACTTCCAAGTGCTTTAGTTGTATAAATCAGTGTTAATAAGCTATTACTGGGACAAGAAGTGTTTGTTTTGATCTGATTAAGGATATTTTGCCTTCTTAGGATGCTCATGAATTTTTAAGTCAGTGCTTAGACCAGCTGAAAGAGGATATGGAAAAATTAAATAAAACTTGGAAGACTGAACCTGTTCCTGGAGAAGAAAGTTCACCAGATATTTCAGCCACTAGAGTATACACTTGCCCTGTTATTACTAATTTGGAGTTTGAGGTTCAGCATTCCATCATCTGTAAAGCGTAAGTAGTCTCTAAGAAACTTTTCCTTTGTAAATCTTTTTGGCAAGTGATTAAAACTGTTCTAGAAGGTTTTAATTATTATCTCATTTTCCTTTATGTCAGTGAGAAACATAAATATAAACATCTTTTTTCAGTGTCTTCATCGTCTATAAAAATGCTTGGTGGGGTGAGAACTAAGGAGAACTTAAATATTTTGTCATATGCTTTAGTGCTGACTAAACAGTTAATTTTGTTCTACTTTGTGTGTGTGTGTGTAATCATTGTGTGGAATATTTATTTATTTATTTATTTACTGAGGAATATCAGCCCTGAGCTAACATCCATGCCAATCCTCCTCTTTTTGCTGAGGAAGACCGGCTCTGAGCTAACATCTATTGCCAATCCTCCTCCTTTTTTTCTTTTCCCCCAAAGCCCCAGTAGATAGTTGTATGTCATAGCTGCACATCCTTCTAATTGCTGTATGTGGGACGTGGCCTCAGCATGGCCGGAGAAGCAGTGCGTCGGTGCACGCCCGGGATCCGAACCCGGGGCGCCAGTAGCAGAGCGCGTGCACTTAACTGCTAAGCCACAGGGGCGGCCCTGGAATTTTCTTTAGAAATACTCAACACCCATATATTGGCTCTCCATTCTGTCTTCCATATATCTGTTTTTCTTAAGCTGCTCAAAGTGATAGTGTTCACTGAGGTTTCTTCCAGCTATAACATTCTAGTATTTTTGACTAGAATTTTGAACATTCATGTGGACACTGTAAAGATGGTAGTTTTGTATCGTTCGTCTGTGATGTTTCTTACCTTCATGATTTCTTCAGTCTTTTTTTCACCTCAGTGGATACATAATTTTTAAAGAAAAAGTCAGTCTTACAAATACAGTTCATCTCCTTATAAAAGCTAGAGAGCCCATCAACAGTTAATAATATGATAGACAGTCATCTTTCTCTTTCTTCTAATGCACTTTCCAAACAAAATTTAAGTCAGAAAGAGAAAGTGTTTTGTTGTTGTTGTTGTTGTTATGAGGAAGATCAGCCCTGAGCTAACATCCGATGCGAATCCTCCTCTTTTTTGCTGAGGAAGATTGGCCCTGAGCTAACATCTGTGCCCATCTTCCTCTACTTTATATGGGACGCCGCCACAGCATGGCTCGACAAGCTGTGCCTCGGTGTGCACCCAGGATCAGAACCTGCGAACCCTGGGCCACCGAAGCAGAGTGCTGCACTTAACCACTTGTGCCACTGGGCAAGCCCCGAGAAGTAAAGTTTTTCATTGTTAGTGTTTCATTTAATTGTGAGGGTGCCAACCAAATTTCTTTCTTGTTTTTTTATTTATTTATTTATTTATCTATCTTGTGAGGAAGATCAGCCCTGAGCTAACATCCATGCTAATCCTCCTCTTTTTGCTGAGGAAGACCAGCTCTGAGCTAAAGCCCCAGTAGATAGCTGTATGTCATAGTTGCACATCCTTCTAGTTGCTGTATGTGGGACGCGGCCTCAGCATGGTGGGAGAAGCAGTGCGTTGGTGCGTGCCCGGGATCCGAACCCGGGCCGGCAGCAGCAGAGCATGCGCACTTAACCGCTAAGCCACGGGGCCGGCCCCCAAATTTCTTTTGATAGGAAAATTTCAGCTGCCACTGATAGAAATGGCCACAGGCAGCACAGGAAGAAAGAAGGCCGCTTCAAAGCAGTGGCTGCCTGCCGCACTGTGCCAACAGCATCATCAGACACTCCAGCTGTGCAGCACCCAGATGTTGGGTGTGCAGTTGAGGTGTGCGCACCAGTGCATGAAGTCACATGGCTCACAGGATGTAGGGCACCAGGCGGCCAGGCTAAACAGTGGCCTAAGTGCGGAGGCAACAAGGTTCTGTGGGGCAGCAGTAACTACCTCCTTGAAGGTCTTGCCTTAGTTGCTTTATTAGTAATTTTCTTTAAGACAGTTCTTTAAACATGAAATAATTTCTGGCTGAAGGAAGATTCCATACACCTTACCCCTCTTATGAATTCTCCAAAGAACATAAACTATCTATAACTACATACTTAATATTCCCCATAAAACCTCCTTCTGCAGTCTTCCCTGAGTAATGACCGTTCCACACTTAGAGTTTATCAGTCCAAAATGTGTATTTCTTAACTTTCCTCTTTCTCTTACAACCCTGCATCTCATATGTCAGCAGATCCTTTCAGCTCCTCTTCAGAATACATCCAGAATCTATCCTGGGTGCACACCGACGCACTGCTTCTCCGGCCATGCTGAGGCCG